TTGCTCACCAAAGAGATGCCTTATTTGTGAACAAAGCTTTGTCATGTGGACATTCTGTTGTGATCTGAGGCTGGTGCAGATCAGGAACCAAGCCGAACCATCGGAATTAATCCCGAGGTGTCTGTACGAAGAATCAAGTTGATTTCCAATCAACTTGATCTTCTCGTTGTATATATGGCCTCATGTTTCCCTCTGAATAAATACAACAATTTATACCTCTGAATTACAACAGGTTATGAGCCCGGAAGCAATCTCTCGGGTGCCGTCTCTACTCATCTGAGAATCATCTTAACTATCTTGTTAATATATCTACCCCGCTCGCTTTCACAGCCATCACAATGTCTGTTCTGGTCCATGACTCTCCTGACCGAGCTGTCACAGCCATAGAGCCTCTGACAGGAAGCGACAACTACGCGACTTGGAAACGTCTCATGACCTCCTACCTCAAAGCGAGGCAAGTCTGGGACGTGGTGTCGGGCGACCTCCAACGCCCCGACTGCCTGTTCAAGTACGCCAAGCCTATTACGGCAGACATCCACCCCTTGGTGGAACCGCACCTCGCTGGGGCGGTGAGACAGCGCGCCATTGAGGCGCGTCTCGAAGTGGAGGTCCAGGCGTTCGAGCGCCACCGTGAATGGTCGCGCCGCGAAGCTGAGGCTTACCACACCATTTTCCGGTATCTGTCCCCCCACATCAGCATTCATGTTGCGGGACTCGAGACATCCCGGGACCTCTGGAATGAACTCGAAGAACGGTACCGGCGGATGGAACTCGCCACATTTTGCGAGCTGTTCGCCCAGCTTCGCGAAACCACTGGCGAGCGCTGCGGCAGCGCGCGCGAATTTGTTGATCGAGTACGATTGCTCGTACATCGATTGAATGCTATCGTGCCGGGATCCATTGGCGATCGAACGCACATTGCGATCTTATTGACGCAGATCGGACCGGAATACATTCTAGTTGTGGATGCGATCCAGAATGACAAGGATCCGGTGAATCCGACCACGATCGGAAATCGCCTGTCTAATGCTGAGCAGACGGTTCGGAGAAAAGAAGCTTCAACACCCTTGCAGGCAGCATCTGGCCCGTCCGTCAATACGGTGCAGCAGTCTGCCAAGAAATGCAACTATTGCAAGAAGCGCGGCCATGTGGTCGCGCAGTGCTGGAAGAAACAGCGAGAAGGACAGTCGTCTAGGGACCATGCCCTGAAGACTGAACGGAGTGTTTCCGGCTCACCAAGAAATGATTTACAAAATATACCATCAAGCCAGAGAGAAGATCGGCCGGGCCCGCCGGCTTCCAAGAGACCGAGGATCAATATCGTGAGGGCGAGGGTGACGACCCTTTATACCCACGCACCGCAACCCCGGTGGATCCTGGACTCGGCCGCCACCAGCCACATCTGCTGGGATCGGAACTGCTTCAGCAGTTTGCGGCCCCACCGCGAGATGCTGGACACGGCGGGCGATCCAGTGGAAGCCGAAGGGATTGGTACGGTGAAGCTCACGCTCCGGGGGAAGTTCAACCAACCCCTGGTGTTAAAGAATGTATACTTCGCGCCACGCGTCGGGATGAACCTGATCAGCGTGCCGAAGCTGTTACGAGACCGCTACTCGGTGGTGGCGCACCCACAGAATGTCTTTGTGCAACGCCGAGGACGGACCGTGGGGACCGCCTACCATGCGGAGGAGGATCTGCTGATTCTGCGGTGCCATGTGAGCGGAAGATCTCGAGAGCGAGTCCAACTGGCGAGAGCGCCGGCGACCCATGGCCATGCAGATTCCCTGGAACCGCAGGCGGTGGCCATGGACGTCGACGACCCTCAGGAGTCAAGTGACGCAGAATGTGCAACGTCAACCTCTGAACTCGGTGGTGAAGCTGCGATACTCGATGGAGATGCGTGCAAAGGAGTGGACCAGGCCTCCGAAGCGTTGTGGCACGCTCGGATGGGACATCTGAACCGGGGCGACTTAAGGGCGGTCCTCCGGCAGACCGGCACTCCGTACCGACCGCTGACGCAGGCGCAGCTGCTGGCAACGCCGCAGTGCCCAGCGTGTATGTCGGGTAAGCAGCATCAGAAGAGGAACTCCCGCGCAAGACGGCCACGTCTGCATTCAACGAGAATTTTCGAATTGATCCACTCGGACATCATGGAGATGCCGATTGCCAAAGATAACTCCAGGTACGTGATCACCTTTACTGACGATTATTCTCGTGGCTCGTGGGCATATGCCATGAGATGGAAGCATGAAGCACTCCAGAAGTTCCGACATTTTGAGGCCTGGGTGCACCGACAGTTCGGCGCCCAGATCAAGAGGTTCCTCACCGACAACGGGAGAGAATACCTGCCGATCGGAACACACCTCGAAATCCAGGGAGTTGAGTTTGACACCTCGCCGCCATACTGCAAGGGACAGAATGGACTGGCGGAACGCACGAATCGTACTATCCGGGAGCGGATTAACACGCTCCTGTCTGATGCGAACCTTCCTCCTTCCTGGTGGACCGAGCTTGTGGACACGGTGGTCTATCTGAAGCTGCGCGCTCCAGCATCGATTTTACAGAAGAAGACACCGTTTGAAATACTATACGGAAAGCCGCCCTCGCTGTCGCATCTGCGACGCATTGGCTCCCGTGCCTGGGTATTGATCCCGAAAGAGCATCGAGCGAAACTCGGACCCCGGTCATCCGAATGCCGATTGCTGGGGTACTCTGAACCGAACCAGTACAAGCTGTATGAAAACCATTCAGGGAAGACAGTCTTTTCCCGTGATGTCGAGTTCGATGAGAGGACCCCAGTGGCGCCACTCATCGAGGGGGAAACAGGCAACAACCTCCCGGACAACGCTCCTCCATCAGCTGTCTTTCCATCAATGCCAAGTTCAACCAGCGGACTGCCAACACCACCTGCATCGCCATTACCTCCGCTGAATGAGCGAGAGAAAACGCCATCTGAGCGTGAGGAGGAGACACCTCCAGTGGTCAATCCAAGTCAACAAGGGACTGACTTGACATCGGATCTTGGGTATTCCATCTATGGTCGCAGACGAAGACCTTCACGGCGTCTCCTGGAGTCACTAGGTAAGGTGTACTCGGCAGGCACATTGAATGCCGCGCCGGCCAGACAAGTCGACCCGGCGTCCTTTCGCGAAGCTGTGTCAGGCCCAGACCAGCTGGACTGGTGGGCCGCCATCCAGAAAGAATATGCGTCGCTTCTCGAACACGGAACATGGGAAAGGGTTCGGCGGGAGGATGTCCCAGCCGGAGATCATGTGATTGGCTGCAAATGGGTCTTCAAGACCAAAGCCAACGGGACTCGCAAAGCGCGACTAGTCATCAAAGGCTACCGGCAGAAACAAGGCATCGACTATCACGAAACGTTTGCTGCTGTGTCGCGAATGGACTCCGTCCGCTGCATTGTAGCCAGCGCCGTGTTGCGCGGATGGATACTCCGCCAATTCGATGCGGTCACCGCATTTCTCCATGGAGACGTCGATTCGTCTATCTATATGGAGTTGCCCGAAGGCTTTGAAATGCCAGGGTACGTATGCCGGCTGCGCCGTTCACTGTATGGGCTGAAGCAGGCCCCGCGGATTTGGTACCAATGCGTCCACCGCGTCCTGGCTTCTCATGGCTTCACCATGGCCCAATCGGACAACTGTGTGTTCTACAAACCGGATTGCGTCGTTTGTGTTTATGTCGATGACTTTCTTGTTGCTGCGGCAAACACGCACGAAATCGAACAAGTGCAACGAGCCTTGCAAACAGAGTTCCGACTGAACGATCTGGGCATCCCTCGTTCGTTCCTCGGGATCCAGTTCGACTATCACGTCGATGGGTCCGTGTCCATTCACCAACACCAGTACATCCAGAAGGTGCTCTCCGACTTTGGCATGGAGAGTTGTCAACCGAAGTCTACGCCGATGAATCCCAAGCAAATCCTGAACCATCGTCCAGACGAGGAATCTCCGGACGAGGAAGCAAAAGCTCGTTATGCCACTGCCATTGGTTCGTTGATGTATCTGATGGTTAGCACGCGGCCGGATATTGCGTTTGCGCTGGGCATGTTGAGTCGCTTCACGGCTCAGCCGCAATCGCACCACCAAGTCGCTTTGCAGCGATTGCTTCGCTACATCAAAGCCACGCAATCCCATCGTATTACCTACCGCAGTGGGCAGCTGATCGGGTATACGGACGCCGACTTTGGTGGCTCTGTCGTCACTGACGGTGCATACTCGACGTCTGGCTATGTATTCCAGCTTGCAGGTGCGCCAGTTTCCTGGTCGTCCAAGAGACAGGGGGAAGTAGCCACGTCTACGACACACGCGGAATACATTGGACAGTATAATGCCATTCTGCATCTGCAGTGGCTCCGCACCTTTCTGGCTGAAACACAACTGTATCGGTCTCCGGTCACCAACATCATGGCTGACAACCAGTCCGCCATTGCTCTTTCTCGCAACCCGGAATTCCACAAACGGACGAAGCATTTCAACGTGAAATTTCACTATCAGCGAGCCGTGCTGGATACAGGCGAGATTGGGCTTCAATATGTTCCGACTGAGGAACAGGCCGCAGATGGTCTCACCAAGCCATTAGGGCCCACGTCCTTTGCCAAGTTTTGTAGTCTCTTAGGCATCGACGCCTCAGAAACTCCAAAGCAACATGCATGACAGCACAGGCGCTCTTTCCACTTTCTTTTCCCACGGAGGTTTTTTGAGTGGTTTTACCGAGGCCTGCCTGCTCAGCTTAAATCCAGTATCGTCATTGCCAGCAATACGATCCTGAGGGGAATGTTGTGATCTGAGGCTGGTGCAGATCAGGAACCAAGCCGAACCATCGGAATTAATCCCGAGGTGTCTGTACGAAGAATCAAGTTGATTTCCAATCAACTTGATCTTCTCGTTGTATATATGGCCTCATGTTTCCCTCTGAATAAATACAACAATTTATACCTCTGAATTACAACACGTACTATTGACCCGGTCAACATCTACAATATGGATGAAACCGGAGTCATGTTGAGTGGCCCCCGTTCGCTGAAGGTTTTGGTAGGGAAGGACTATAGTGGCTCAAGAGGCGTAAGAGTTAATCGGGAGGCCATCACAGCCATTGAATGTATTTCGGCAGATGGCCGGTCACTCCCTCCATTGATCATCTGGCCAGCTGCCACCCATCGTAGCTCGTGGACTACACATCCGACTCCTGATTGGCATTTCGCATGTTCCAAATCTGGCTACACCGATAGTGTGATCAGTCTCTATTGGATCAAGCATGTTTTTGACCCTCACACCAAAGCACTGGCTGGGAATAAGCCGCGGCTTCTCATTAGCGATGGATTCGGCACGCATGAATCTCTTGAGATTATGGAGTTCTGTCTCCTCAATCGAATAATTCTCTGTCGACTGCCATCACATACATCGCACAAACTTCAGCCCTGCGACGTTGGCGTTTTCTCGTCACTGAAGACTGCGTACCGCGAACATGCCGAGTCATTGGAGCGGTGTGGGGCTAACACAATTGGGAAGCAGCATTTTACGTATCTGTACAGCCGTGCCCGCAGCCAGGCGTTCAATTGTCGGAATATTCTCTCGGGATGGTCCAAAACTGGACTGCGACCCTTCAATCCCGAGAGGGTCCTTAGAGACATCCAAAAACCTCCAGCCGGAGATGTACAATTACAGACTTCTGACACTCTCCTGGCTGTTGCAAATGACTTGCCTGACACACCAGTCAGTCCCCGAAAGCTGGCCCTACTACGTAGCGAAGTTGAAAAGGATGCGCATCCAATGGATGAAGGCTGTAAGCTTCGTCTTCAGAAGATATTAAATGCGACGGAAAGAGCATTTGCGGAGCGTTCGCTTCTTCGGCAGCAGAACCACGACTTGTTTGAGCAAAATACCGAGAAGAAAAGTCGACAGCGTACAAATTCGACGGTGGTAGGGAAGGCTAAGATCATGACGTTTGAGGACATTGCAGTGGCAAAAAGGAAACGTGAAGAAAAAGAAGCCGCGCGAGAAGCAAAGAGGAAGAAACGGGCCGAACCGAGTGAAATTAGTCACACCCTGCCACATGCAGAGGGAAATTGTCGCCAAGAACCGTTGAGGGGTATAGAAGATTATTGCTCCGTTCTCCAATTTTGATTTGAGTTTGACTTCTGTTTTCTGGATAGAGTTATGGTCGAAATTAAATTTAGCTCCACATAATTTATATTTTGAACCCCAAACCTAGGCACGATAAACCTACACACCAAAGATCAAATATTACTAATTGGCTAACTGTATGAATTAGCTTCCGTTACGAACTTCAAAAACTAGCCTGCTACATTTTTAGAGGGTGGTTAAGTTACTGTCGTGTCTTCGGAGGACGAAGAGAGGCAATCCCTAGCATACAAACCAAAGGGGGACTTGAAATTTATTTTTCGATTTAAAAGGCACTGTAGGTTAGGTGTATATTCGGCGACAGAAAGAGTCTTAGAAGATTCCGTTATAGCTTCCCGCGGCCCCTGATGATTGGTCTCTGGGAATGATTCTTCACATATGCTTACTTCCTTTCAATCACAGGCTATATCTTACTTCTTAGGACTCTCAATGTAATACTCAGGGTTATATTGCAGTCACGTCTTTCAGCTAGATGTTCCAATTCTAATAAGGTGGCATTTGAGGCCGAATGTGATCATCAGCTGCGTAGCGAGGCCACTTTGCATGACATCATGATGCGCTTCGAGAGCGAAACCAGGAACGAAGAACGGAATTGATTGAGTAGGACCCATCATCCATTAACTCAGCAAAAGAGTAGTCCACAATAGACCCCATATGTTTGTTAAACGTATCTTCGTTTAAATGTCGCTTTTGGTGCTCTTTCAAAGTTTTATGAAACGTTGTGAACGATATCTTATCGTCATCCAAGCAGCAAATACTGTCTAGTAATAGTGCAGCTTGCCGAGAATCAGACTTCAGGGCGCTGTAAGTATCTGACCAAGTTTGATTCAAAGTTCCTCTTGAATACCATCTGCTAGGCGATGAAGCTGATTGAAGTTCAACCCATTGCGTTTTGTAGAACTGTAGATATTCTGCTGCAGTGGAACCAGTGGATCGGACGAAGTCGCCCGCAGAAGAGAGTGCAAGGGGAAGACCGTCGAGATACCTGCAGAGGTTCTCGATATCATTCTGACAATCCGTACTAAGGTCGCCAACCAGATGGGCGCTTGACTTGAAAACCTCCTTTGCTTCCTGCAGTGGGATTTTCTGAACCGGGAACGAGAGACCAAGTTGACAAAATGTTTTACGTCGAGTGGTAACGACGATTCGACCACCGTCGCCTGCCGGGAAAAAGTCGCTGATCTGATCCAATGAGAGACCATCGGCGTCATCGAACACAAGGAGCCAGCTTGAATTTCCCGGGAGGCCCAGCCACCTAGTCATTCCCCTCGAACGTTCTTCTTCACCATTCGGACTTTCAATGCCGGCGTGCTGGAGCTGTGATGGAGAGAGCCGTTCAGAAGCTTTCGCGAGGGAGCGGATCAGCGAGCTTTTATTCCTTGCATCCAGCCAAAAAATTGCGGTGAAATCATTCTTGTGTTTCCTTGCAAGAGCAACTGCGAGCTGAGTCTTTCCAACCCCCCCGGTTCCATGGAGCACCATAATGATGCGACTTGACAAGTTCAAAGGATTTAAGATGGCCCATAAAGAAGCCAGACCCTCCTCGCGACCAATAAATTCTGGTATAGCAGGTACGCCTGTCAGGCTGAAGGGGACGCCATATACAGCAAAAAGTGCAGTGGTAGGTCTCATCGCTCAGATCACAGAGTCCTGATAAAGTGATTTCAAAGGTCCAGTGAGGCTGAGAACGTAGGAGGAATAACGGAAGTGATGGGTGGATATGGGTGGATATGGCTTTTTAAGTTCAACGCGGAAAGGTGAGGATGGGTTAGGCTTCAGGCAACATCCACCAAAATGCTTCCTGAAGATGGGGAACGGCTTTGACCCTGACATACACGTGACCAGCGCACTAACATTGCAAATCAATTTGTTACAGGCTGGTGGTAAAGTCGTACAATTTAACAGTCATAAGCAACCAATGTGAGGCATACATACAGTGACGAGAGGGTATATCTATTATTCGCAGATTTGAGTCGCATGCTATAGAATTAATTCCCTTCACACTCCACCGTCGGCGCGATGCCAAAGGGCGGATGCTGGGATGTTAGTGGATGCTGATTTTGTACACTAGACAGCGCTAGGGTTCCTGGGATTGTAACACAAATGGAAGAATTGGATAGTCACTGGGTCAACCTCAAGGTTGGCTTCCAAGCACTGGCGAATGGAAAGGCCTCGAACTGTGTTGTTAGCAATAGTTATTTTTGGCTCGGAGAGTGATATTTCCGGGTGGAGAGCTTGTCGCCAAATTTGGATCTGGCGGATCAAGGTATCTCCGAGGATGCGGTAATGTACTTTACTGTCACAGTACAATGTCAGTAATATGACGTCGTACCTGACTCATGTGACACATGGTACCATCCATACCATACAAAAGTGCATATTACAGTTAGTCATCTATGTCCGCCCAGATTGTTGAAAACGCGGGTTTTGTCATTTTAGTTAGAGATTCCAATATATCTGTTGTCAACAAAAGAGGGTCGCAATTTTACTAGTGCGCCCGGAATATTCAGCACCCCCATCTGCCTGATGATCCTAAGGCTCTCAACGACCTTACTAAGCTCATCCCCTATTTATTCTGCACTTTCTATAGTATATAAAAATCACACTCTCAAGTACTCAATTGGCTATGCCCGTACTAGTCCGTACTGTAACGACCACGTTCCGACAGATTCCATTGGTGTGTAGAGTTGAACGAATCAGGTGTTAGGCTTATCCGGAATCTTGAAATACCCACGTGACTTCTTTCTGCCAATGCAGCACAGATAGTGCGGCACTGCCCCTAAAAGAAAGTGTTGTTGTTCAGAGGTATGAATTGACTTGTTATTTCAGAGGGATACATGAGCCTATATATACAACAGTTAGCCAAGTTGATTGGAAATCAACTTGGTCGTCTGTATAGACACTTCGGAGCTAATTCCGATGGTTCGGCTTGGTTCCTGATCTGCACCAGCCTCAGATCACAACATTCCCCCTCAGGATCGTATTGCTGGCAATGACGATACTGGATTTAAGCTGAGCAGGCAGGCCTCGGTAAAACCACTCAAAAAACCTCCGTGGGAAAAGAAAGTGGAAAGAGCGCCTGTGCTGTCATGCATGTTGCTTTGGAGTTTCTGAGGCGTCGATGCCTAAGAGACTACAAAACTTGGCAAAGGACGTGGGCCCTAATGGCTTGGTGAGACCATCTGCGGCCTGTTCCTCAGTCGGAACATATTGAAGCCCAATCTCGCCTGTATCCAGCACGGCTCGCTGATAGTGAAATTTCACGTTGAAATGCTTCGTCCGTTTGTGGAATTCCGGGTTGCGAGAAAGAGCAATGGCGGACTGGTTGTCAGCCATGATGTTGGTGACCGGAGACCGATACAGTTGTGTTTCAGCCAGAAAGGTGCGGAGCCACTGCAGATGCAGAATGGCATTATACTGTCCAATGTATTCTGCGTGTGTCGTAGACGTGGCTACTTCCCCCTGTCTCTTGGACGACCAGGAAACTGGCGCACCTGCAAGCTGGAATACATAGCCAGACGTCGAGTATGCACCGTCAGTGACGACAGAGCCACCAAAGCCGGCGTCCGTATACCCGATCAGCTGCCCACTGCGCCAGGAGTTCTACCAATCACTGGACCGTAAAAAGTATGAAGACGCGAAAGCAGGTTTCACTTTTTGCGGTTTGATGTTTGAGAACTACACCATTGTCAGCAAAAAAGAAGGGCTCGTACAGCCGGGAACCTTTCATTGCTTAGAGTTCGCTTCACAAACTGTTAATGCGCTGGTATTTACCATTGACAAGTGAGTCTTAATATTTTTGCCGATGCTTTTCGACCAGAATAAGAGATCTACGATTTCTCAAGTCCAGACAAGACGGCCACACTCAACCATCTCCAGCGCGAATTGAAAAATATAGAATTTGACTTCCAGTACAATAAAGAGCGACGTTCGACAGTCAGTGAAGATTTCAGTTTGAAATTAGAAGTTCAGATGGACTACCTACAGAGAACACTGAGGGGTATTGAGAAATTGTGTGGCCTCTAGTATACTGTTCCGGTCAAGGATCTACAATTGTTGGTTGATGTTATCCATCTTGACCCTGGCCGAAGTGGTGTGCAGGCCACCACACAAGTACGGAGGTGCTCGAAATCAGTTTCACTACTTCACTCTCTTTGGTTATTTGTCAGCTCAGTTTGGGCCCAAGGGGGGGAGGGGAAACCAGCCCTCGGTCTAGCCTTGGCACACCTCTAAGTACTACTCGAACAACTCGAGCTACTACGTATTGAGTTATCTGTGTGGTGGGCTTTATTAGGGGTACCAGCATGGGTACTTACTAAGACCAACAAGAATGATCTGAGTTATAGGGCCTCATCGGATAACAAATTTGCACCGGATAACAAATTCTTCCATTAAAAATGCATTAAAACCACTATTTACAAATAACCACCATGACTATCTATATGTATACCAATTTCCACCATACTTTATTCTAGAAACCTCCACGCCCCTGCTCCTCCTATTTGCTAAGAGCAATTTCTGAGCGAGTCATTGGTTTTCTCTCTATTCGGCCAAACTAGTTGGAATTTTTTTAATAACAGGCATTATTGACAATTATCGACAAAATAAAATTCTCTATCCAAATCTCATTCAGCAACAGCTCCAAACATCCAATTTGGAGAAAACCCATATAGACAACAAAAACCAGAAGAATCAAGCACATAAACAGCTCAATAGAAGAAAAGAAGCAGATCAGGATAAGCAGAAGGCCAACCCACAAAAAAAAATACAAAGGCGAAAAGAATGAAAATCGAAGAAAGAAACCACAGAACAAATCAAAGGCCTTTCCGCTCTTGATAGATTAGCTACTGCGAAAGACAGGCTTGGCTTCGAACAAGCAGATCAATTTACGGTACAGAAAAGATGCAACACCAATTCAAAAGAATCCAGATGGGCCGCCGACTCGGTTTCTCCTGGTATTGTAGTCCTCGGGTACTCCTTGTGCACTGATTCCTGGCTTGACTTCAGCTATCACGCCCACTTTGGTGAAAGTTTTGCTTTCAATTTTGGTCATGGGTTGATCCATGGGAAATTGGATTCAAAAGCAACTTTGGTTTTGGGAGCTAAAGTGAATCCTAGATTAGACCTTACAAGGCCACACAAAATGCTTGAAAGAAAAATGTATGCTTCAAACAAATCCACTTTAATCTTTCCTGCATACCTTCTTATGCCTTTTCCAAGCTGCCTTTTGACAGTCACGGTCGCAATAACTTACATTGCCGCATTGAGAGCATTTCTTGAGTCGCATGACACTTTGTCCACAGTTGTCACACGCTTCATCACTGGTCCCCATATTCAGCAGCGGAGCGTGGATTTTACTCATATGTCCCTTCTGCTCCTTGCTTATGAAGGTTTCCAGATACGGAATCGCTGAAATCGGCATGATCGCAATACGAGTTGCGTACTTCGCAAGAGCTTCCCAATTCTGGAACCGAGGAAATCCGTCCATGTCCTGGTTTTCGCCACAGCAGCAAATTGGCAGTTGACTGTGTTCAAATGATAGTGGAATAAGGCCCTTTGAAAAATACTGGCAACTTTCGTGATGATGCCAGGCCTGTCGGCAGCACTCTGCTTGAACAGGAAGCAGCTTCTTCCACAGCATTTCTTCTTCGCGAGACTCCAGGATTATGCTGAGTATTTTGCCTGACATGACGAGGTAATTCAGTGATTTCGATAATTCGAAGACTCGCGCCTTCGACAATGGAACGACATATGCATCCAGCAGGATGGAGCCATGTAGGAAATTATGGCGAAGCGCTGAAGCAAAAATCAGGGTGTCGGAGCTGTTATTCTTGTGCTTGCAAACAAGCTGAAAAATTTGGTATTGACCGTGATACGGACTGGTTCCTGCAAAACCCTGCAAGATTGCGTTTATGGAGATCTTGAGTTGAAGTAACGGGTTGGAGGTCAACGCCGACCTCTCTTCATACAGCTTTCGCTCCCTATTGCTCAGCATCAACCCCATAAATTGCTTGACCCAATCTAGTTTTGCTACCACAGGGATCACTGGCTGCTTGTCGAGGTTTATACTGGGAATGAGCAGTGGGATTGGCTGTCGTTCGCACATATAGATTGGGAAAAGATTGTGATTGTAGCCCCCAAGTGAGAGCGCAGAAGCAATAGAGACCGTCAGCTCAATAGCCCCAGATATCGATTTGATCTTAGGCTGAGCTCCATTGATAGGATATGGATAACTTAGTCTCAATTCTGCTGAATTTTGGAGTCTAAGATCCATTGTGCATGGCGAGACCTGCGTTACCATAGGCTTTGCGTCTGGTGTCATGACTTTAGAAGCAGTCTGGACTCGCAGGGTCTTTGCGCAAGAATCCCCATCTAGATGTACCCAGCAATATTCCATCTGAGAGGGTATATTTTCCTCTGCAGCAGCATGTTGTTTACTGGGATTACAACTAAGCCCCGGCGGCTCAGTCAGAACCCGGAGATTGCGACTGTCTAATCCACACTCAAAAATAGCCATACGAATCCCCAGTTTGGGCATGTAGTGGCATGTAGAAGGAGCGGATGAGACCGTCAAGGCGATTCGAATACCCTCCCTAGGCCCCAGGAGCAGGGACCATGTGGGAACTGCACAGGTCACGATCAAGTCAGCAAGGCCCCGCCATCCGTGATGGTCTGGGATGACATCGCAAATAGCGTTGTCAACTGATCGATCTCTCAGTTGTCCGAAAAAACACTGAATAGCAAAAAAGCTATTATCGAAACTTTGCTCAACATCCCAAACACCGACATGAAGACCAGGCGTTCCTCTTGGGTCTTTATCTTCCGTAAATATTTCAAGCTTCTGTCGTGGGACTGTCAAAGCTAGATATACAATTGGCGGGGCATCTTCGCGTCCCAAGAGCCCGGTACCAGCAAGGCACGCTCTAGGTCGCCCATATAGAGTTCGAACAACTCTGTGAGGTGGCTGTTTGAGGACATCACTAGTAAATAAGCCAAACACGTGGAGCCATAGACAAAGTTCCTGAAAACTGTTGCTTCCGACGAGCAGTTGTCTGTCGGCCTGTATCATGCCCAGAAGGCAGGTCATAAAGGAAGTCCAATCAGTTTGGACACGTTTCTTTGCCAAAAAAAGAAGTATGACGAATGTCGTGCGATTGTAGTGCCGGAGATCTACAGAAAGTGGCGATCTTGCTTGACGCATCATGGACTCCATCATTGACCCCATATCTTCACAACTGAACATTGTCAGGTAAAGCTTGAAGAAATATCTGGCTAGTTGGTCGAACTGATACACAAGCTGATAGCCAGAGGTAGAACAGTCATGTGCTTGGATCGAATCACCAAAGCTGGGGACCCTCCATGAAATCTCCATATGGTACTGACCCCGGCGCCCAGTGTTCTTTGAAGCCGTGAGATCTAGTACCTCCTCAAGCCCAGCAGCAGAAGCTGTATATGGAATGAGATGTCCAGATGGTGAGAGACCAAGGATCAAAGATATTGCAGCAACATCCGAGCAAAGTAGAGCTGGCAGTGCTACTGTGATATCCTCCGCCGCCCGTAACAAGCTATTTGTGAACAGTACTGAGGTAACTCGTCCTGATAATAGCGGTACAACTGCAGGTAGAACATTAAGCATTCCAACATGATCAACGAGGTTTGACGTTTCGATAATATCGAACAGCCTCCTTTCAATAGGCCGATTCAGGTCAAGGAGATTCAATTCTGTGGAGCTCCATGGAGAGGTGTATGCCCTCACGAGTTTTGGAATTACATTTGCTGAACTGTGAGAGTCTTGTAGCTCATAGCAAAGCCGTAAAGCATCTCCGCAAAAGAATCTAATTTGGAGAGTGCCGGAGTGTACCTGATGTTTCAGGGCAGTGCACCACTCCGAAAACTGAAATTTTGCGAGAGCGACAATTTTCGTTCCTATATCTTGTTCCGAACATGTTTCGTCATCGAATGCGCTGGCAAGGTGGAATGCAAGTAGTGGGTCGCTGCCGTAGTGAACTGCAAATTTTCCAGTTGGCGCTGAAGAGATGGCAAACAACGGATTCACGCGTCCGTATCCGCCTTCTCCTAGATCATGTAAGTCTGTGGCATTTCCGGCAACGACGCCGGTTTCCCAGAATTTGCGAAAGCACGAAGAGAGTACGGGCATCGCACGCGCCCAATGAACTGTCGCTGAACGAACGCCTTGAAGAAAAATAACATCTTCCTCGTGGGTTCTTTTCAGCGTTTTCTGAATTTCTTCCCTTGCATCCTCCTCAAAAGAAGCTGCCTTATCAGCATCCAAACCTGCCATACTAGAGTACTGTTTCCAGAATGCACGAAGACGAGATAATGTATCTTGACTCAAAAATTTGATGAAGCCGCCATACTTTGAGCAGGACCATATCTCAAGCGTTTCTGAGTTAGATAGAAGCTTGTCTGTCTGACTCTTTATTATTGCGACGTCAGAGTTCGTAACAAAGAAGTGGTAAAAGATCTTCCATATTGAAGCACTTGGTGCATTGTCAACGATAAGGGAGAATAGGATGATGTTTCGCGCTGAAAAGCCTACGATTAGCGCGATACGGGGAAAATAAACAGGCGTGATTACCTATGATCGCAGTTTCGACATCACAACAAGTAAATTCCCACTTGATGTGTTCATCTAGAATCTCAGGTCAGCTATGATAGAATCTTATTTGCATGATAATCGTACCTTGTATTGGCTTGCACCAAAGGGTAAAAAGTAAGTTTCTGGGATCTCCACATGCCAAGAACAAGATCTTGACCTGTTCCTCTTCAAGTTTATGTATTGGCGGAGGCACTCGACAATTAAACACATTCACGGCTGGTGTATTACCAATTGGGTAAAAAAAATACCTCAGATTCACGTTTGTCGCACCAAGCATGTTGCAAACAATCGGTGTTTGTTGTTTATTTCTATCGTCTGAAAAAATGCAGAGAAGGGAAGCGGCAACTCCAACGTTTGATCGGCAAGGCAGTTCTATGGGAGGTACTTTCTTAAATGAAATGTCGAGATCTCTCATTAGATAAGCATTCTAGGACAGACGCAAGGACTATATTACCGATTCACTCAACGTAGTTAGCTCCTATGCACATCCATCGCCTTGGAGATTTCAGGAAGCCGAGGAATGCATTTTGATTGGCCGTGGCTCGATTCTTTTTCACCGAACACCCATTCTCGTTTACAAGTGTCCCCCTAGACGTAAAAGCTAAACCTAAGTTGGAAACCGGGCGCTAGTTTCCCAGCTCATGTCTGCTGCCACCTGTACTTCAAAGCTGAACATTGAAGTGTCCCCAAAATAGCCCGCCAGTCACTGGCTTCGGCTAACCGCCAAAGTTATCGCGTCAGACGTGTCGAGTCATGGTTCGCTCCCCTAAAAACCTCCACTAACGAGGGACAGACTATATGCTTTTCCATAAAGCTAGACAGATCATGAGTCATTACGGAATTCAATTACGAGTCAAGGGCTTCTGACCGGGCTAGAAGCTATTCCTTGTGCAGGAATTGCCCCCTAGAATGACGCCCTAATGGCAACAATATGGATTTGGGCACCTATGAAATGGGGCTTCCCAGCTCCTGAACGCGCACTCCAATCGGATTGAAATTGATATGGATGAATTTCGGAACCTTCACAATCCACTTTTTGACATTTTGGCCTCGAAAAAATAATATGGACGCTGCCATGATACCAACCCTAATGGGCTGGACTTTTCGGGGTGATGCATCACGGTCGCTACGTGAAACCGTCTATTCCTGTGTCGTACCGAGGCCTGTGCTATTCAGCGCCACTATATTGATGTTACACAGTATGTCCCATTTTGTGTAACAATAGTACACATGGTCTTGGGCAAGTTTCGTCCCCTTCATACGCCACATAACGCATGCGACAGATCCTGGTAGCAGTTGACCGCCATTTCAAGGTAGAGACGCAGGGACCTTTGATCTATGTAGTAAAGGTGGCCTGGTCGGGGCTCCGGCTATGTCCTACTGTCAGAAGTATCTCCAGGTGGTTCGATGTTGGGGTGTTGGAGTATCTGGTGCTCCGCACGAAGAGAAGCTCATGTTATGAACTCAGAGCCTTATTAATGGCAAATATCCACACGATTGAGTGAACGATATTGAAACTAAATAATATAGGCAGGCACTCTGATGATCGGTTACATAAATCGCCATCGTTATAAATTGCAAGCCCAGTGATTGACTCAGTCACTATCGTAGGTACGATCCACTGACCGCAGGCCTGTACGCCGAGCCATTGATATATAGTTTCACTAGTCTTCTTCGCAGTGGCTAGTGGAAGCCGGTAGTGAGTGCCGGGAAGGTGTTGAATAATCTCTCTCGGTCGTACTGCAATCTGACATTCCTTGCAGACAATGATTGGCAATTCGTAGGGTCGAGTAAATAATTGATCTTCCATCTTTATTTACCACTATAGTGTTTGAAAGTGAAAGTCAAAAGCTAGGAAACATAAGATGAGATTTCGACTTCTTCCTCAATAAAATCCCCTTAATTATCTACTATTCGTCTTACCCGACCCATATCGATAATGACAGGATCCTCTAATGTCGCCCATTCTAAAGATTTAACTTGCCTCGGTCATGCATGCATTTCATAACAACACATCCGTGGGATTGTGGCCTGTTTTCTCAAGGCCTGTTTTGGAGGCCGGTGACACCACGGGAAAGTGGTTTTATCTAGTAGGAGCTTAAATCAAGCCTGGAATGAGATCAGTGAACATGATCTGTATCAATGACGTCTGCAGGTCAGTATTTCTGTGGTCACCCTTCCTCGGTAAGCTTTGAACTGCTGAGAAGTGCTGTGTCTATTATGCGGTCTGATCAAAGGATCTCGCACAACAAGATTCCTGGGTTCATGTCAGCTATGTTTGAGAAAAGCGACAACCTCCGAGATTCGTATCAGCGGCCTATCCCATGGGAGGCGGCCCATTGAGCCTGAGTGGGCTTTACAATACATTCTTTACACGTATTTGGTAGATTTGGTTGGTCAAAGAAGATGCCCCACACCCCTGACTGGGGATTTTAAATACAGTCACCCCGCAAAAGTTTCCGTAAAACCCTTCCCACCTCAATATATATATATGCAACCTACACATTCCAATTAATTTACATACCACCAATCTAAAATGCATGCTTTTAAAAAATAGGAATTAAATGCATAAATGGCTAATTCATTAAACCTGTATTTTTAATATCTAGTATACCACCCTTTAGCTGCAATTACAGCCTCACATCGACGATTCATGCTCTGGATCACCCGGTCAAAGTAATCCTGGCCTAGCTCCTCCCATGCTTTATGAATTAATCCCTGAAAATGTGTAACTAACTGCTCTTTAGTCCCTTCAAATTTATCTAGGTCAGGATCGAGGCGATCGATCATTTCTTTTAGCTTCGCCCAGGCATGTTCAATAGGGTTCAAATCCGGCGAATACGGCGGCCAGTCAGTAGTAGGAATTGCATTCTCCCACAACCACGCTTTAATAATTTTAGCCGTATGAATTGGAGCGTTATCATGCATAAAGATACGCTCCGAATTCATAAAAAATTGAGGTAGGTTTTCTTCGAGGGTTTCGAGATATGACTGTGAAGAGAAGCCTTGTCGTGCGGAGAATGGATCGCGATTCATTTGATATAAATCAGAATAACCACCACCGAATATCGCTCCCCAAATCATGATTGAGATTCGTTTTGATTTCGAATAAGTGACCACGTATTCTTTTTTCCATTTTTCATTCCGGTGGTTTAGGTGGAAGACCCAACGTGCGCGCTTCCCTTTTCCAATTTCTACCGAACATTCGTCGGACCAAACCACCCGCTTCCAGTCTTCCCACGTCCAATTCCGGTGCTCTAAAGCCCAAGTAAGACGTAGAGCGGCAACTTCCGGTTTCAAATAAGGTCTTTTCCGTGCTTTCCAATGTCCGTAGCCCGAGGATTTTAACATTCGAAGGAGGGTATCATCGGATACGGTTAAACCACTTTGTTCGCGTATCTCGGAGTAAAGAATAAAGGGATCACGCGTAATCAAACGTAGTATCAAGCTTTTATTATCTTCCGATAGAATTGGGGGGCGACCGGTTCGAGGAAGGGTTTTTCCATCGGCTCGTAGGGATTGTTGATCGAGGGTAAATTGGATCGTTGAGGTAGATAAACCATGAAGCTTTGCAATTGAGGTAATTGAGCAGCCTATAGATGCCTGGCCGGTAATTTGACCCTTAGGTTTGGAGAGAGTTCAGTCTTCCTCACCCTATTAGAATTAATAGGGCCTAGGGGTGTTCTTGGAACCATGGTTGATAGTTGAAAATGGTGGGTTTATTAAGACGCGATTTAAAAACGCGGGTGTGGGGCCAATTTTACGGAAACTTTTGCGGTAGAACTGTATATCTGAATGTGCCACGCAATATGGGCTCGATTTCGATGAAATTTTGTCTTATTCTATTTAACTCATATCCCTACATTTTCATTAAATATAAACCCCCCCCCCATCCAGCTACAGCGTCAGGAATAGACGACCGAAAATTAGCGTCCAATATGCGTTATACCCGCCCTTTCTCTTCAACAGTATTCACTGTCATACCTAGCAATACTGCCCATCAATCTTATTGTCTCCTTTGCAGCAATGGCCGAGGCATCCAAAGCTAGCGCACAGAATTTCGTCAAACAGCAAGTGTACCTTGTGCACTCTACCACGGGCCCACTATTAAAATTAGAACCAAGACGAGTAATACCGAAATCATAATTTCAAAAGACTTGCTATGCGCAGAATCACCAGTCTTCACAAGAAAATTTCAATAATGGTCATTTCAAAGAGTCACAGGAGCAGGCACTCGACCTACAAGAGATGGATGATGTCATCTCAACTCGTGCTCTCGAAGCTCTTCTTCAATGGCTATACCGGGGTATCATCAGATTCGATATCGGGAGCCCCGAGGAGAACATTTCTGATACTCAATGGATGGTTTTTAACAATCTCTCTGCACGGGGCTAAAGATTTCTGATCAATATCTGAGGGTTATGATACACTCTACCAGTTCGCCGTACTACACCCCCCCCCCACCCCAAAGCAAGCTACCTCTGTCAACAAATCTTCTTATTCATGAAAGCAACACAGATTGAAAACGGTGCTTTTTGCATTTTCAAGTAGCTTGGAAATCTTCCCCTCGGCTCGTTGCGGCTTTTGATTGCTTTCCTTTGATAGATTGTTAGGCCGTGGCGTAGGAAGAATTGATAGGGAAAACTAACATGGAAGTTATTGTGTTGCGGAAAGTACAGCTCTTGAGAGGAGACCCGTTCAGGTGAGGGCGCTCGCGATCTCCTGGTGTGGTCCGTATGAAGATTCTCGTCTTCCATGTCGGAAGGAAGTAAGGCGATGTGGGAGGTAATGTTGTCTCCACGTTCGGACGAGCGAGACTGGACTTTCGTCAAAGCCAGGTGCAGCTTCTGTGTGTAATTCTGGACTCGACGGATACTTCTGGAGCTTGTCATATCGGATTTCCTTGACGATGGCTTGGGCTTTGACAGAGAATCAGGCTTGTGGTCGCTGCAATGGAGGACGACAAGATTTTGTTAATCTTCAAGTAATGGCGTCGCAAACCAATTGGCAATGATCAATTGGTCAGATGTCTAAAATCGTGCATATTCACCTCTTTACGCTCAGACAGATTTCGGTTTATTTGGATAGGCTCAAGGACCTTACATAGCCAGTCAAGAAATGCAAATTCAATCAACTTCATTCCTGCCGTTACATAGTGTACTATCAACATTCTTCCACATCTATACGATCAGAAACTGCGAACCTTCATTGACGCAAGTTTGCACTGCTCAACTCTACTGGACGAGAATCAACGCTTCCAGCAAAAGGTTCGTCCTCTCCCTCTGAAGTTGGCCGCTCTCCTGCTTTAGCTTGCTTCACCAGCGAATTGATCAATGCTTCGACGGATTTTGGTTCCCATTCGTCCAACGACACCCCTTGCCCTTTCAGGATGTAGTCCACCGCAGCTCCAAGGCTTCGATTGACGGTATATATAAGTTCGGCCACTTTCGAAGTCTCGTGCAATTCTTTGTTGGTCTCACGGTGTGACTGCCGTTCTAAAGCAAGCTCATGCTCATATTTTGCGATGATCTTTTCCGCACGAACACAACATGTGTTGAGGTGCGCAATGGTGCGAATATTCCTGAACCCGGTCAGCTAACCCAATAGGAAGCTTCTTTAGTTAAATAGAGAAATTACCGAAGTGTCCATCTCTAAAGTTTTGGGGGATGGGGTAGGAGATCGATAGCTGGCCATTGAGTGTATATCTGTCTGCGGGCGTACTGAGCACTTTTAATGGAAATGATTTCTATATACCAAACGAGAGGAGTCGTATTTATAGGCGACGGGATCTTTCGTCGTATTCCTGGACCACAAGGACTGCAATTTGCAGATCTTAACATGAGGGTTTGATTTCAGATTAAATTAAACATAGAGCCGCAATAAATTTGCAACAGCATTGCACTTTGGGCTTACATGAGCGTCTTTATTTGAGGAATCAGTTGATTACCTCGTTTGGGTATGTATTGTTTGAACATATTGAATTGGTCATAAGACAGTGCGATCTTTGTTCGTCGTTTAATCATCGCCCACTAATACTAATTGCACAATTCGCATACGTTGGACTTCATTTGCTACGGGTCTAGATCAATTGGCTGCCAACGTTCCATCCTGACAATTAAGGTTCGCATTTTGCGAGCACACCCTTTAAGGCCAAAGGCATGCCTAAGATATTCTCGCCGCTGACCATGTAGTTTGGCTTTGGGTTGGTATAATTTAACGTTCTCCGTCGGTTGCATCATGGAGATACAGTATTGACTATATTAAATGTATATTTCCTCCTGATCATCCGACGGTAAGCGTTGTCCATAACCAAGCCAAAAGTGAAACAGTATATTATGTTGGCACTTCAAAGAGAATGCAAAGTCACAGCAGAGGGGTTCTTTGTTGTGAGTAGTTCAAGGATTAGAGAATTGCGCTTGGGGTATATACATAACGTACTTTGCTTGGTGAAGCCTTCTTTTGGCTTCCGGACTCTGGCAGGTATGCTCACGCTCGGTCTGTCCAAGATAATAATAATAAAAAATGACGACAAGAAAACGCTCTCCATAAGTGCGCTCGCCTATATCTCAATATTTTCGTATGCAGATTTCTATCCGTGCCGCTATTTGCTCTGTATATGAACGGATCTGAAAACGTAGGGATGAGTGTTTCATAGTGTAACGTGCATCCCTCCGCAACCGCTGCCCGCTGTCACCGATCGTAAAAACAGTATTTTTGAGAAGAAGGACACAAATTCGTAGCATGATGGCATTCAATTATCCCAGAAAACATCACAAGGATTTGATTGATACCTGTATTATAGATTTCGCCTAATTTAAAATAAAATCACCCTCAGTATTGAATAAAATTCAGTGTAGGAACTTCCTCCCCGAAGTTATGTTGACAGAATCTGTTTTCCAATCATGCTCCACATCAATCAATTGTTGGGGCGACACTTTGTACTGCGTATTTGATCAGTGTGTAATACACCATGTATTCACGATTAATGAGGTGAAATACTTTACATTTTGCTTCCTCTTCAATTTCAAAGTACTTCGTTTGCTGACTAATGGTTATTGGTAAATCCATTACGGTCACAATGTGATGACCCTGTTCTGTATTAAAATTGTTCATTCTTGAGGAGCCCAAAGTCTGGGCCTGTTCCTTCTCAACGATTGTAACCCATCTCAGCGACGGTTGGGGAGAATATCGCAGGCTGTATGCATTGTTTCGTGGTGGATGCCATCGGAATCAAGTGCAGAAATCGGGCGACTTTGATAATCCGGGACAAAATGGGTGGGTAACTGTCGGCGTCGCGCCAACCGGCTTCACCTCGGCCTTGCACGGCCAGTGCGCATATCAACGCACACTCGTAATCCTCTACCCGTGTACGCTGGTTTAATAATTCCATACAAAACTCTAAACATGCTGCATCGATGGCGGATACTTCGAATTGTGCCCGATTGTCGGGTGTGTCGCGGTCGGCACGTCCGAACTGGTAAAATTCGTCCTCACTCTCCTGACTCGGAACGGGATTGGCGCCGCGCGAACTGTTGGCGGACTTCGGTTCTGGCGAATTGCGAACTGGCGAACTGGGTCGGCTGGACTGGGCAACCGCCTGCGCTTCGTCCCACAACTTCTCCCACGCACGCTGCTGTCGCCAGGTGATCGAATACTTCGGACTGCTCCACTCGTGCGGAACCTGCGTGCGCGCGAAAAACATCAACACCTGCTGCCACGGGATGCTGTGTTTAACGATGGCCTCTTCCACCATATACGCCTGCTGCGGCTTGGTGGGCGTCTTGTCGCGCTCGACCCGCACAGCTTCGACCTGGATGGTGTGGCCCACGCGCGCGCTGACTTTTTGGCTTATGCGGGCCACGGCGGCCATGGACTCCCAAATCTCGGCCGTGGTTAATGCGGCCTCGCTACGGTCCTCGGGATCGGGTTGTTGGACGCACTGGACCAAATCGTCGGGGTTCAACTCGGACAAATACACGGCCCACTGCGTGCGACGCAGCCACGGGTTCGCTTCGTCTCGCTGGCCAGATTCGATCTGGATGGGCTGATTGATGTGCTGCTGGTACAGCTCTTCCATCTTGTCGAGCTCCGCGTGGATCTGGGACGCCTGATGAATGGGACGTTCAACTGGTGGATTCTGGTCCGTACTACGGCCCTGTATGTGGATGTAATGCCGGCCAGTGCCTTGGTTAAACGCCTGCTGGTATACCACCGTACGGCTGAACTGCTGTACCTATTGCTATGCCGTATCGCGGGCTGCGGCCCGGGGACGACCTTTGCTGCTACTGGGCTTCCACCCGTGCTTCTCACGCCAGTGGCGCTTCATACCGTCGACGCTGCGGACCACATACCCGCATTCGGATGCACGGGTGCACAATAAACCATCGCTATAAACTGGCAATCCGGGAATGGAATCGTGGACGGTGGTGGGCACTTCCCAACCTTCACTCTCCTGCACTCCGTTCCACTGCTGGATGGCGGGCGTGCTGTAACTGCCTTCCGGCGGGCAACCCCAGTCTATGTTGAGCTCCCTGGATGTGACGACTGATCTCACTCGGTCTGACTCCGATTTGGCACTGTTTGCAAATAATAATGGGGAATTCCTGCGGTTTGGTAAAAATTTGGTTCTCCATGTTGTGTGTCGATATATATTTATAAATGTATACAACAAATATCGAAATTGTACAACAAACTGGGGTGCGCAAACGTTCAAGGTTGCTTGATGGATATGAAACGTCGAACAAGTAGTTTTATTGATTTATTGCATTCGTTTAATCTAATTTGATTTAATTTATTCGGAGTTAAAGCTAAAAAAAAAGCTGGCCTACAAATGCTGCAAGTGAGATCCTCAAAAATACCGCCGAAATCTGCATAATTTATGCTACGCGTGACTTGTTGATGTTTGCACTATTTGACGACCCCAGGGGGAGGGTCGTGACCCTCAGGGTCGGGTCATACTCCTAACGACCCGGACCGGGTAGTCAGGGTTACCCGCGGGTCGTGGCGAGGTCTACATGTAAAGCGGAACAGATTGGCGCATAATACGAAAATCTGAACTGTTTGGGTTTTCCATTATGAAAATTGAGGCGATCATTTTTTCCATAGAATGGAAATATTCTATTGGTTGGCCAGGCCTTTTAAAGCGAAGATTCCGAACCGTCGGCAAGTCGTCGAATCGTGTCGTCTTGGCTCCGATCATCGTGAAACTTCCAATCATTCAATAGTGAATGGTTGCATTGGAGCGAACCGAACACTGCACTAAGCTGTTATAGCGGTAGATGCGCTTTCACCCGCGTTTTCATTGACTGGAGTCGACTGTATGTATGCCTGGATGCCAAGGCCATAAGATTATTCTCCTGCATGAAACCCACGTCTGTCCGTGAAAGTCCACAGGATCGTCTCAGCCACCTGTATTTTCCCGTGTCTGTCCGCGAAAGTCCGCGGGATTGTCTCCCCCAGCGTTTCGCCTGCATGCGTTCGAGTGGGGTACGCCGGCCAAAGAATTGGCCGCTTGTAGGTCCAGGGGCCGGCGAACTCAGTTCCAGTGGGTGTACAAGGATGCATCTGGACTCGAATCCAGGGAAAGGCCTGTCCGTACTTGTGGGGCACTGGCCAAGTCAACAAACGCGGATGCTTGGCCTACTTCCGCACGTTAGCCAAACACTGGTATTCTCTGAAAGTCTGCAGGATGAGCCCCAACGTATAACCCGCTCGTATAGTTTCCTGGTAGACCATGCTACGCGGTCCATCCAATCAAGTTACTGGTAGGAACGAGACATTTTATTGCAGCGCCCCAGCCACGTTCCACCAATGGCACGACCCAAATCTACCACTGTAGCTAGGAGCAAAAGTAAGCCAACTCGATCAGGGTGTAGTTTTCAGGAAACCCGGCCGTTCAGTTGGCTCCATTTTAGAAAATAGAATAATGTAGAAGAATCAATGAGAAGGACAAAAAATAAAAAAGCCTGGTCCCCTTCAAGTTGACAATCGCCCACATTTTCTCCATCCTAGCGTCCTGACACATCATGTCTGGCTTTTGGGAACCCAATAAAAACCGGCGCGCCGGGTTCCCGGGCTATCACAGATGCACGCAAGCCCGTTCCTGGGCACCCGGCTGAGATCGTGCCCCCGCTAAGGCACTGGCTCCTGTAATGTGCTCAGCTCCCTTCCTTTTTCTAGCATCATCTTTCTCACGTATTAGATCCGTCATATTCTCTGCCTTTTGGCCCTTTCTGATTTCGCAAATCATTAGGGCTGAACACGTTACTGGGGCTTCCATCACACTTCGATTTCTATATAATGCGCCGCGCTTTCACTGCTGAAATTGATTCTAGCCCTGGCATCCCCTTATACTTGCTGTTTACTGCTGAACAACACAACATACATATTGCTGTGGCTGTGTGGACGTAGCATAGCTAGACCATAGCACTGAGTCGTTATCGCTACAATAGTACCCGGACTCGTCTCTGAACATGCATGGATGACTATTAGTGTGTGCGCTTTGGAAATCGTTGTTCTAGACCTATCGCACTCTGGCTTGCAGGGGTGTCGGAAAAGGGGCTCATGCCGGCAAGTTCATATCCCCTGTGTGAAAAAAAGCGCCAGGTAGGCATGGGTACCGCTTGACTCATTTGAATGATCTGTGTACAATAAATTCGTCGATAGGCTTGCTAATGCGGCAGTGCTGAAAGCGTCTGCGGTGTTGCAGTAAGTAAGTGCGTAGGCAACGTACTTTCTCTAGGCAGAGGCTACGCGTAAGATGGATCATATTTTGTAGGCCCATCCTACGAGTGACGCCTGATACTCGTAATCTCCCTGTATGTCTGCGGTACATTCCATTGCCAGCGTTTTTACTGGTATCCCTGACCGTAAAGACGGGAATTGGGACGTGCCGTTATGGTACTGATGCCCGGTTTGAGACGTGGGGCATATCATCACAACCCCCTGAAGAGACAACGCCATGGCTGTCTAGCGGTGTGCCCTGACATTGAAGGCCCCTTTCTTTCTTTCCTTAAATTTCCTAACATGCGTGGAATGCCCCTTTATTCCATGGTCACCACCCTATGGGCAATAATTCTTGGTTTCTTTCATCTTTTGTCTCGTTCCAGACCCGCGCCGCTTGATAATCGCTTTCTCAGAGATTCATCTTAAAAGTCACTTGGTTATTCGTAGGTGAAAGCCGCTTCTTACCAGATTCAATTATGCTGACTGATGCCCGTTTTCTAGTCCTCGAGCATTTCGAATATTTCCGTCTACTCAAGGAAGATGTCACAACGCCTAGCAGCTGAAAGCAATCCAGACAAATTACTATCCACAGCAGGGGCGGGGGGTTCCGGGCTAAATAACCCGGAAATTAGGGGGATTTTCGTTACGCTTGGGGGTTTTGATGAATTTCTGAAAATAAAGGAAGGAACGTGGCAGGAAGAGGTAGGATCTACCGAACAGAGATGTCTACTGGAAGGCACTGTGTTCCTTGGATATATGTATTCATTGAACCAACAACCATATCTTTTAAAGGACCTTCTGGAGCGGGCTATTGCGGAATCGAAGCATAGTCTCACGAAACCTGAACTCGATAGAGTCATCGATGAATCTTTGGGAGAAGAGTCGCTTGTTGAAGAAAAACTCGATCAAGCCATCATTTCCCTATGGGATGGACGTGGTAACGCGGAAAGAAATCTCCATCAAGCTTTCGCTCTCCTTCGTCGAAAAGTTCTCCTGGATAGAAGAGAACACTCTCTTCTATAAAAAAAGAGGCTCTTGACGCTATTGCTGCAGCTTTGGGAAAAGGATATCGAGTTTCTTTTCTACTCTTCACAAGTTTCTAGAAAGACCGGTAACCCTTTTGGAGTAAGCTACGGTTCCGCAGGACTGGCGTACTTGAGGCATAAGCATCGAGGAAAAGGTTGGTCCTTTTTGGGAAGCCAAGCAAGATTTCATTACAGATCCTCCATCCCTTACTCTTTTTTTTGTGACATTCTGTATTTACCTGTCCTCCCTTACGTTACTGAATCCTTTGAGCCGTCTTCTTACAGTCATCGATTTTGCTGGTAAGCTTCCTGAAACAGCCTCAGTAGTCCGCTGAACTTGACTAGCCTTCTACGGGCAGGATAAAGCAGCTAAATGAAAACTAGAAGACGAAATTCGTAGTGCTTGTCTAGACTATGGGTTTTTCCAACTGCGTAACCACGGCGTTCCTGAGAATCGTCAAAGGGGGATATTGCGTCAATCTGAGAATTACTGGGCGAAGTCAAGGAAACATACAACAAAGGTATGTAATATACCCTACAGGAGATGAAGGTAACACGATGGCAATGTTGACTCGTGGAAAGATGTCGGCGAATTCAATCGCGGCTATGAACGGCTACGGTCCCAGAACTTTGAAACGCTCACCAAGGGGGATGTAAAAGAAGGTCACTTCTTGACACAAGACCTTCCCCTTGACGACCCTTATGTTCGAGCGACGAAGTGGGCCCAGGAGCCGAATAAAGAGCAGAAGGCGCTCGAGGAATCGGTCAACCAATCCAGATAAGCTGCCACTAGCGGTATGTTCCAGAAGACCGTTGCATCGCTTGCCCGGAAGTCAATAAAGTACTTTCGGAGAGACTCGTGAGTTAGGATCCGATCCAGCATCCAACGTTCGCCGGTGGTTGGGAGTAAACTGTGATTCTTCTTATGCTTCAAAAACTTTTGACCGCGCTGGTTATTCACTGGATCATCATTTAATTGCTGCAATGGAAGTTCCGGCACTATATCCGCTCGTTTCTCGCCTTCTTCGAGCAGAAAAAGTCTTTCCAGTTCGTACTGCGTGAGTTCGACTTGGGCTCGGATAAACCCCCGTTCTCACTTTCTTCCATTTTGGCCCCCGCTCGGCTGTTTTCTTTTGCATAGACTCTTTTCTGTTATGTATAAAACTCGCAACTGTTTTGCTATGGAGAGCTTAACCTATTGGAAAACTAAGTATACCATTCGCCATCCGGACGCCAAATGGCCTCAGTAGACTTCGCCATAAACCGCAAAACCCATAAACCGCCCCACCCCAAACCGCAATTGGGGCGGGTTTTGGGGCGAGGTCTAGAAACCGCAATGGTTTATGGTTTTTTAAATAGAAACCGCAATGGTTCTTGGGGCCCCAAATGGTTTATTAATTACAGGCCTAATAATTTTGGTAAACCTTATACATATATAAATCTAAATATGTCATTAATTTAGTAGTAATTTAAGGTCATAGGTGATAAAAATCGGTACTAGTGGATTACAATACGGTAATTAATTATAATGAATTTTATGCAAAATTATGCAAAATTATGCAAAAATGGGTTTTAAATGGTTTTTTTGGGGCCCCAACAGAACCCATCAAAAACCGCAGTGCGGTTGCGGTTTGGCCGATTCCAAACCGCACCCAACGCGGTTTGGGGGTTGGGGCGAGGGTTTGGCCCCAATTGCGGTTTATGGCGAAGTCTAGGCCTCAGTGCCTACCAGCGCCTGATAATGATATAGTAAAGCAGTATCAACTCACATAAAGGGCCAAAGTTATGCATGGCATCTATCGACGATATGTATTGTTATATAACGAAGGGTAGTCCGTGCTGGGTGTCCCAGGGGTTATGAGAGCGTTGACGATGCAAAAGTTTTGAACACACTATAATATGATGAGCGGATGTATTTTGCGTTAGATAATGCTCGGACAAAACTACATAACATAATGGTTAGATAACTATTTTACCACAAACCTTCTATACGGATGGAGGGCTTTCCACGATGAAATATGCCTAAAAGTGGTTTTAATCTGGACCAACTTACAGGGGACATATAATACAGGTATAATATCGAATACTAAGGTTGCATACATGGTGGAAACAGGGTATATTACTCAGAAAATCATGTGACCATTGGTACCATCCATACCATACAAAAGTGCATATTACAGTTAGTCATCTATGTCCGCACAGAATGTTGAAACCGCGGGTTTTGTCATTTTTAGTTAGTTAGAGATTCCAATATATCTGATTTTGTCCATACGTTGTAATACAGCCAGATTTCTGTCAGAAGGTCCTCTGTCGAGTTCCAACCGGTCTAATGGATAGTGTTGTGATATGTGGCTGATGCAGATCAGGAACCATGCCGAACGATCGGAATTGATCCCGAATTATGTATACGAAGAATCAAGTTGATTGGAAATCAACTCGACCTTCTCGTTGTATATACAGCCTCATGTTTCCCTCTGAATACATAATACTTAGTCTTCTTTTGAACTACAACAATATTCAGAAGCCGATTTGCTGCATATTCACTATTCATTGGCTGGGGTTGCCTGGCACTTCCTGATTCTATGCTAATGGAAGCGGATAGATACCCTCCAGTCCTTTTCTCTCAATGTGGCCGCCCCCAGATGGTCCTCATGCCCGGAAGCGTCCGAGTAGACCACTAGGGGTGTTCCCGATACGATATCGGCAGAATTTCTCCATATCGGGTATCGTATCGGCTACTACAAATAGCTTCAAAAGATTATCGGTTATCGTATCGGCTCACAAAATTGTCTACCGATAACTAACGGCCGATAATATCGGATTTCAGCCGATATTATCGGTAGTATGCAGGTATTACTTGTATAATTAATAGTACTACCTTGAAAATTTTTCTTAAAATCCTGCTGCCTTCCAACTTGTAGACCTGGCTTTGAACCTCCGCATGGGTCCCTACCCTGGAACCTCGACCCGCCAAGGGAACCGCCAAGGACCCTCGATTTTACATAAAGGTGTATAAATAATGGTTTATAAGCAAGTTATTTCCTAATTAGGGTGAGTCATACATATATAATTTTAGTGGAGGTTCCAGGGTCTGGATTTTAGACCCTCCTTGGCGCCAAGGAGGGTCCAAGTGGAGGTTCAAAGCCAGGTCTACTTCCAAGTTCCAACCACACACCCCCCACCCCTCCTACCACCAACTTCCAATTTCCCAAGCATCCTGATTACTATCTTCGTCATGGCATACAATGGCAATGAGGACCTGCAAATGACTACACGAAGGCAGGCACGAGTTGACTATGAATTGCTCAATGGTGGCCCTGATTCCCCTGAAGGAGTTCTACCATCAGACCAAATCACTGAATCTGATATATCTCAATTTTCTTCACAGTCGCCATGGCACTTCAATTCTACCTCTACCGATCAAGAATCTCTAGCCTTCTCAGAGATTTCACCTCATGAATCTGCCTCACAAACCTTTACCCGGAAGATCAAGAAACCTCGCCCAGCACCGACTACCGATTGGATTTGGGATTACTTCTCTACAACTGAGGTATGCCGTGAGTGGAAAGTCCTCCGTACAGGGAAACCAAGGACTGTCGACATGGATATCCAATGTACAGTTATCGATGAGAAAACTGGTCTACAGTGTAGTTGGAAAACCTCGGAATCACAAAGGCAGTCATCAACCTCGAATATGCAGCGTCATCTTGAGAGAAAACACTCAGTTCTTCCACCTCAAAGTTCAACTTAAAAGCAAAAAGATATCCGCCAAGTCTTCAAAAAACAAGGGAATCTCTCAATCCAAGAGCATCTTGAACGGAACATACTTCGATGGGTTATTCAAGACAAGCAAGCTTTTCTAGTCATTGAATCTCAGGCTTTTCAGCAAATCTTTGAAGATATTCCAGGAATCACTCTACCATTCACATCTCGATCAACTGTGAGTCGACGATTACAAGAGCAATTCAAAACCCAACGATCCTTGTTGAAGGAGGACTTAGCTACTACATGCAAAACAATTGCATTATCTCTTGATATATGGACAAGTCAGAATCACTATCCTATCCTTGGTATCATTGGTCACTGGCTTACAGAGGATTTTCACTATCGTGAAGAAACTCTAGAGTTCTGTGAAATCTTTGGACCTCATACAGGGGAAAATATTGCTACTGTGGTTCACAAGGCCTTAGTGGAATTGGATCTCACGTCAAAGTTGACTACAATTACTGGGGATAATGCCTCAAATGTTCAAGAGATGGTTTCTGAGTTATGGTATCTTTTGGAACTGAATCAGAATTCTTTACAACCAATTCGATTTTCTGGACCTAATAGCTATATTCGCTGTCTGGCTCATATCTTGAACCTCATTGTGAAAGATATTCTTCGTTCCTTGAAAGCTGGAAGTGTTTCAGAGGCCAATTCGATCTGTGATAATCTAAAATCCAGGAATCCCCAATCGACCTCATCATCAAGCTCTCCATCTATCTCATCTCAATCAGCATTAGCCAAACTCCGGATTCTTGCTATTTGGATTTCTCGCAGTCCTCAACGGAGGCAAGACTGGAAGTCAATCTGTGATGAGATGAAGCTCGATGATAAATTCATTGAGTATGATGTAGAAACACGGTGGAATTCTACCTTTCGAATGCTTAATGATGGGATACAAGCTCGAGCTCAGATCAATCGATTCTGTGCTGTACAGGGTGAAATTCCTCCCTTTACCAATGCAGAATGGGAACGACTTAGTCAGATTCATAAAGCTCTCAAAACCTTTAATGACTTGACGCACTTGGTATCTATATCAAGGCCACAGATCAGCCTCACTGTCCCAATTTACTATAAGCTTCATGATCTTTTACGGGATGATGCCTTAGTGGGATATGATGATGATATTGCCAATGCAATAAGGGCAGGCATGAAGAAGTACCAAAAGTACTATGACTTCATGGATAACTCTGAAGCTTATTATACGGCATTAATGCTTGATCCTCAGCTCAAATGTGATCTCATACTTCATGAGATGGTAGATCAAAAGGCTGCCCAATTGATTATACGGGAGACTCGTCGGATGCTCCATAAGAGATATCCACCACTTCCACAATCAATTCCATCCTCGCTTTCACAGACAAATCTAGACTCGAATCCACAGTCAATTCCAGGCTTGACTCAGGAAGATTCTCTCAATCGCAAAACAATGCGGTTATGGATGCTGAAAAAGCTACAGCCTCAGGAATATCAATTTGTTTCTGATATTGATCAGTACTTTGATAGTCCTCGGGTTACTATCACAGGCGCAGAGGATCCAGACTGGCTCTGCAATTGGTGGCGTACCCATAAGGGTGAATACCCTCAAATGGCAGAGGCTGCAAGGGAATTTCTTGCGATCCCAGCTTCAGAGGTATCAGTTGAGAGATTATTTAGTGGAGGGAGAGATCTTTTGGGAGTTCGAAGGCATAGTTTAGGGGCAGATACTATGAGGATATTGATGTTGATGAAAGATATTGTTTAGTTAACTAGTGAATTTATTGCTTAGTTTGGTTAGTTCGTTGAATGAATTCATTGATTGGTTAGCTATAGTTAGTTATTGCAGTAACTAGGAGCAGAGTAGGATTAAGAATTTAAGATCGTTGAACTATTCAAAAGAGGCAATACATGCATGGATGACATATATATATATATATACATGTATGCATGCAATAACTAGTTATAACTTATAAACAAGCGTAATTAGGCTAGCTTACAGGTCTACCGATATTATCGGCGCAGGTTTTTAGTAGCCGATAAAAAAACCGATAAATTATCGGCTACTACTAATATCTTCTAAAAGTTATCGGTTTTTTTATCGGCTACTAAAAACCTATACCGATAATTAACGGCCGATAATATCGGTACAGGTTTGTATCGGAATTATCGGTAAAATCCGATATCGGGAACAGCCCTACGCAGAAGTTCGACACAAGCTACAAAGCCTGACAGATAGACCCCTTACACCGCAACCCCTTTCCGAACCATGCGCCCAGAACGGCCACGATGAGATCCTTCGCGAAATTCAATCCTTGCGCGTTGCAATCAGTCCTGCAGACCCCACCACGGGATCTCCGTCCTATGCAGATGTTGCCCGCACTCCCTAGACTTGAGGTAAATCTAACGGCCTGCGTAGCCAGCCTCAAAGTTTATGACAATTCAACAAAAACACACAGGGAATTGACTAATCTTTTCAGGTGGAACATTTCAATGTGGCTGGAAAGCGGAAAGTAAGATTTGCGGACAGAAAATGCTGGGGGCTGGTAATTAAATCAGTTTATCAACCAGATTGCATGGGCGAGAGAGGGGAGGGGTGATCCGACGGGGTAGTTAACCTAGTCAACTAATTTCTATGCAAACAATTAGTTTTTACAGTGGTTCAACCGGCCTGGCCTCACAATTTGGTTTATTTGGTCATATTGAGATCTTAGGGAATTGTGATGGCGTGCAAAACGAGTAACTTCAAACCTCGGCTGAGCAGATTGTTCATTTCATCAGATCTACACTCCACTCTCCCTGCCATCACTTAATTACCTGTTTATTACTGTAGTTCTCTAGTTGCTCCATGCAATAAACCTTCAATTGATGTAACCAGCCATCCGAATTTCCTGCCAAAAATTAATTTTCTGACTTACCAGCCCACTTTGTTGGCCAGAGCAGTAGCTAGCCCTGCTTTTGTGTTTTTATTCCTTGGATTTTATCTCTCTGTGTATTTTGTTAATTTGAATCGTGTTTCCCAGGCAGCTTCGGCACTCTGCTCGTACGGTGAACCCCTCCCTTTGGCATTTTCAATAACGAAAATGTCTCCTAAGATAGTAAGATCCCAGGAACAAAGGTGACTTGTGCAACACAGTCCAGTGTCATTTTGAGGGTGGTCAATTGATCATTTGACCCACTTATTTGGCAAGGAAATTTTTCTAGGTGAACATTCAACATTTATTTATGAAGGGAAGTAGACAACGGATAAAAAATCGCACATTTTTGTAAACTCCTATTATGTACCAGAACCACTAGAAGCGATGTCTTTAATGATCTATTCGCTTCAATAAGAAATGGCCATCAATAAAGAGTTTGCCAGGGAAACGGTTTTCGCTAGAGCCCAGCCATTGAACAAAGACTGTTGTGATGTTTGAGCTAATGTGGAAGGTCATGAAAATGCACGATTTTTCAATCACTAGTTCCTCCCCATTTTCAGTCTCCAATGATTGTGCAGCGGCTTACACACGTATTTTTTCAATAGTCTATTCGTACAACTCGTCGGGGTCGGATTGTAATGATATGCAATTCACATCTTTTCCTATATTTCTCAGCCCTCTAAAACTTATTGCGGACTATCTTCGCATTTTGTTTAATTGCTAATGATTTATGGCTGCTGTTCTGAAACATCGAGAAATATATAGTTCGAAAACAGGAAGGCATCATCTCCGATCTGCGAATTCGTTTGGTCTCCACACACACACAATTCATTAACGCCCGGCGGCTGAACCGAAAGGGCAACTATCACTGATCTAAATGTACATGCCTTAGCTAATGCTGTGCCTCCTTGGAGCCCATACACGAATTCTTTCATTGTATGTCATCTCAGGTGTCAATACCTCAGCGGGTCCTTGTGGGTTAGTGTTTGGTTAGTAGATTTGCTTGAAGGCGTTTCTCCAAGTGTTCAACATCCTATCTTCGGCAATTGAAGCGTGTCTACCATCTCTGGCACAAGGCAGATGATGGGGTTGGGGCGGGGTAGGGTTAATATGTGTCGGTCGACACGGCTAAGCTGCGTCGAGTCGGCCCGTGGCGATTGCGAATCGTATTGTGGCTCGCACTGCTTCCAAATTCGGCTTCCAGTTCTGGTCATCCAAAGGCGACTTGCCGCCCAGGAAAAAGGATATGTTGCCTCGGTGAGTGTGGGTACATTGCAGCATTTCCGTCCGGTGTGTGGTCCACCGCCGACATCGAAAGAGGAAGTGTTCCACGGTCTCTCTGGCTTGTCCACATGCGCATTGATCCGTCTCTGCAACGTTGATCCGATAGAGGTATCCATTTAATCTAGCCATGCTAGTTCGGAGTTGAGCCAGCACACTCGCTTCTTTCCACGATAATCGATCATACAACTGCCGGGTATGCTTTCCCGGGAGTGCTGCATCAACTCGTTTGGAGTGTCTCCCTACATTGACCGGTAGGCAATTTGCGGGGAGTGCTTGGGATCGTGAGATGTTCAGTGTTGTCGACTTCATCCGAGGGACCTGTGCTTGCGGGGTGGAATCCTCTTGGGTCGCGGTCCGAGCCTGCTCTTTTGCTAGGCCTCGCAGTTGATTATCTTCGCTGGTCGGGACCCAACAGATGTCGATGCGGTTCTCGTGCTTCCGTAGTCTCTTAATCAGCTTGTATGCTTGGCAGATGTGTTCCTGGCCCGACTGTTGTCGAGGGTTCCTTAGCGTAAGTGCCGCCGCTTTGTTGCTCGTAAGCAGCGTGACTCTACACCGTTTCAATCCCCGTAGCGTGCTCAGTGCGTATGCCATTGCTGCCAACTCCCCAGAGTATGGGTTTTGCTCGGTCCTTGCACCCAGTGTGACGGAGAAAGTTTTCAGCCTCGGTTTTCGATACCGAGGTGGCTGCTTCTCAATCGCCACGCCAAATCCTACCATTTCGTTCCGCGCCGAGCTGCTGACCGCGATTCGCATAACTCCGCCCGCTTCGGTCTGTGTCTCTGGTAAATTCTGGCCATCGCCCTGTACACGTTCCTCCCATGGTGCCAATGTGAATGGATTGATGGTTTCCAGGGTTTCCATCTCAATGGTCTTCAGCGCGTCGGCGACCTGATACAATGGCGAACGGTGGTATCTTCTGAATTTCTTGATCTGGGCTGTGCTCCTGCGGAGGGGATTGGTTACTGGTAGGGTGTGAATATCCGTCCACATTTTCGCAGCTCGTCGCCAGAGCCGGTGTTGCACCGTGACCTTGTGAGCCTCCGCTTCCGCTACGCTGGTCGCAACTGTGAGGAAGGTTCCGACAATCGCTTGCGCGCCTACCCTTTGCACTCTGTTGATCGGCCCGATGGCCTTATATTTGAAAGCGCGCATCCAGACATTGGAGGCATAGTCCACCACCGGGGCCACGGTCGATGTGAACAACTGCCGCGCTGTTGCTGGTGAAAGACCACGAAGCCGTCGCAGCTCCATCGCTGCCTCCAGGCCTTTAGACGCCGCTCTCGCGATATGTTCCTTGTATTTGAGTCTCGTATCCATGATGACGCCAAGAATCTTGACATGATCTCTGGGTTCAACGGCCTCTCCCTTGATGGTAAATGGCTCCGAGTCCGACTTGCGGGCCTTGGGGGCGAAGTGTATGATGGCAGTTTTCTCCGCTTCAAACGTCGCTCCACTTCTTCTTTCCCAGTCGAGTGCTTCATTGACGATTGTTTCGATACCTTGCCGGTTGCTCTGCGCAGTCGGTCCGGTCACCCACGCGGTGAAGTCATTCACAAACGCGATCGCTCCCCCCTGGCCGTCGATCTGTCGCTGTACGAGATCTGCGTTGAAGAAGAGGAAGAGGATCGGGGACAGGGGTGATCCCTGAGGTAGCCCCGCCTGTGGGAGGCTTCGCGTCTCCGATGCTTGGCCATTAATTTGGATGGTCGCCGTTCGCTCCGAGCAGAACGCCTCGACCCACCGAAGCAGAACCTCCGGTATACCTCGCGCTTTCATCCTCTGAATCAATCGTTCCTTACAGACCCCATTGTAGGCTCCTTTGACATCAAAACTGATCAAGCTCAGTAGATCTCGCGATCTTGGGCCAGATCGCCGGCTAGCTTCTTCCCCTCGCCACGTTACGCCTCCTTCCACCCATTCTTTCCACATGCAGCGAACCACCATCTTTGCTCGCCAGTCATAGTGCAATAGCCTGTGCTTCCCCCGTAGAAGAACCAAGCCTGGTAGGGAAAGATGCTTTCGTCTATCTCCATGAGATCTGCTATCTAGTGCACTTCTCATTCGTTGCCAGCGTCAATCCTAACCTGGTTCTCCCAGCTCATCTTTTTTACAAGCATAGTGATCATTGCGAGAGATGAACCAACTTCGCCTCGATGATGCAACCCAGTTGACAGACCACGAATCATGAGAAGACTACTCGGATTACGTCCCAACGTCTAACTTTTGTGGCAGTCTTCGTAGTAATATCGACCTGAGCTCTTCCTCGTCGAGCGTAGTTGAGAATAGCTGGACTCATCGAGCAAACCACCCTCACTCAACCTCAAAAATTTCCAGTTGTGTGAGTGGGAAAACGGGAGAGCCTACGTCGTGGGCCCACCAACCTGAGAGATACCGGATAGAGTGGTGAGTGACAGCCAATAATGGGGAGGTGTCAAAGGACACGGAGGAAGATGTCGTTTTGGCACCTAGCGCCTTCTGGAACCTGTCTCTGGGGGGAGAGAAGCTAGAAAAAGTTCCTCGACGCCAAACTGCTCGCTATCGCTAAGCGAGATCAGATGACACAGTCATAGTCGCATCAACAACCCATCGTACCAAGAGAAATCTGACCGAACGATTTTGACGATACCGATATATCCTGGACCGCCATCGAAAAGCAGTTTTGATATGGCCAGAGCTTCCACTCCATGGTAAAAACTGATGTTGAATATCAGTATCAATTTCAACTATGGAGACAATCGTCATTTATCTCCATCCACTGTCTGGAAAGGAGAGAAAGGGGAAAGCCACCTGTGACGCAAAGAATGTTCGGTGAGAGGGACACGCCGCTCGACGCAGAGGAAAGTACATGTACCTCTAGCGAGAACCGAATTTGGCGCAGCGTCTTTAGTCTGATGCAATGTGTCTCGTCGACGTGTCAGCACGGCCTTTATTGCTGTGTGCACTCAATGGGAAAAAAGCACTACCTACTCAAATCCCATCACATCAAACGCCTAATAAGCCACATTGAGAAGGGCCGTGTTCCGGAAAGTCACAAGGACGTGCTAGAAGCGGTCCGTGACGAACTATACCGGGAAGAGCAAGACAGATTAGAGAGAGACAGGCGCAAGGGCAGCCATGTCACAGGCCTAGGTTACCATACCCACCAATCAACATCCGTCTCTCATCCGAGCAGTCTGCGCCTTGATCAACAGACTAATGCATCACGCATCACATTTGAACAATTTACTGCCGACACGTATAATTGTGAGGGCACTTACAATAAGAGAATGGTCACTCTCAAACAAACTTTGACGCATGTTAACAAGCTCTTACGAGTTTCTAAGTGGGAACTTTCACCTCTCCTTCTCAATCACATAATCTCTTATGTTATCTAAGCTACCGTGTTCTAAATTCTGAGACACTTCTTCAAGTACAAGTTTGAGAGAATATGTTATACCAGGCCCGCTCGAAATTAGTTTCACCATTTTATTCTCTTTGGTTCTTTCTTAAGTCTTGGCTAGACCCACCTCGACCTACATATGGCATAGCCTATTTATGGCTGTCAAATAGGAAGACGGTAACGAATATATACTAGCTAGATCAGGCTTAGCGTCGATAAAAATAGTGGCTGGAAAGCAATCAACGAGAACAAAATAGTGAAACTGATTTCGAGCGCGTCTATATCATACTGTTCTATATTTCTGTATTTTTTTCTTTTTTTTTTCTTTCATTTTTCAGTTTTCATTTTGCTATCTTCCCATTTGTGAGGTTTGAGATTGATGCAGATAAGCAAGAGATGTGTCTGTTTTTTCACTAATCAAAACAAGACACATCACAGTGCGAAGGTGTCCGTACCGCTCGTGGTTTGGTATAAAGCTAAATAAAAACTACCTTGCAAAGTTCTATTATATCGCTAGCACGTCCATCGGCCTCTTTCGATCTGCTACTCTGACAATTCCCAATCCAGATGGAGGGCTCTTTTGGAAGGTGGGTGGTCTAGGGCAACCTTGAAATGCCGAGTTCTAATACTTTCAGATGTCTTTCTTCTCCCTTGTTCACATTTACTGTTGGCGACAATAAGAAGGAGGTTACCGTGCATTCTTCCGCTTTGGCAGGACTCTCACAGCCCCTGAATGCTCTAATCAACGGCAAAATGATCGAGGCAAAAACAAGACACGTTGACTGGTCAGATATCGATGAAGACACGTTTGCTCGGTTATGTGAATTTGCATACTTTCGAAATTACACACCCCCGACGTTTCGCATGGTCAATGGAAAATCCCCTTCCACCAAGGTCACAGAGACGGCAAAGGAGAAGCGGAAACGCAAAAAGAACCGCGCAAGTTTCAACTGGAACGATGCGTCGATGGAGGAGCCTATACCTGAACCTGAGCCGGAACCCGAACCAGAACCCGAGGAGGCTGAGCCGGAGGCACCTCCTTTCGAAGACGCTTGCGACGATCAGGAAATTCCATATAAAGAGAGAAGCGTGTGGACGGGTCAACTACGCGATGCATTTGAGCGGAATCTAGTCATTCCCAAATACCAAACTACCGACCTAAGCCATACCTTTGCGGCACCCGAAAATACCGGGTCCTGGGAAGACTTCACCCCGGTGTTTCTCGAACAAGCTCGACTATACGTGCTGGCCGAAAAATATTGCATAGACTCATTGTGCCAGCTTGTACTCTCCAAGTTGCATCAAACGTTGAAAAGCTTCAAACTCTATGATACGGGTTTGAATGGTATCATTGAACTTGTTCGATTTGTCTATATGGACACACCACCGAATTACGGTGGAAAAATTGATGGCATGAGGAATCTTGTAACGCGTTACGTTGTTTCTGTTCTTGGTCAAATTGGCGAGAATGAATGTTTCCGAGAAATTTTAGCCGAAGGCGGCCCTTTCGTGAGTGATTTTTGGCACATCATTTGGGGTATCGAGGAAAAGTCAAGCGCATGAAATGGATGGATGTTCTGAGGTCTTGCTTGTCTGCCACGGCGATTTCATCATCTATTCAAGCCCTGAAATACATGTAGCATGTTACCCTTAATTAGGCCAAGGCATGACGCCCACTGGATGTGGCTGGATTCGAGTCGGCTAATGTCCCTAGGTCGTGATGACAATTGGTGGAGGAGTTCTCTCATATGAATGTAATCTCTGCTGTCAGGCCTTCAACGCATTCAAAATGAGCAGCTTTTTGCTCTATGAAAGGCCAGCCTGTATCGATGGTTGCCGGCCTATAAACAGTCTCAAGGTCTTTGGGGTAGAAAGGTAGACGATAAACGCCATACGAGGCTGAACATCTGTCAACATTAAGGACGGCGAGAAAGCATGGATTGAGGGGCACACCAGGTAACTAGCAAGCTTATAGCCGTGCCTTCCAGTGCCCCCCCACCGCCTTCGGGATGGGGGTGCACCACACCGGAAAACCAATTCACACCGGAAAACCAATTTTGAAGCTATTCACATTAATTACTGCTTTTCACCCTGAGTATCTATCCAAAGAGTCTCCCCTCCCTGCCGCGCTACCACCACTGTATCTGACAATATAAAACTCTCCCCGGTAGGCGACTTGGGTGGCGGTTGGCCGTACAATTTTGTCCATTGTTTATCCAACCTCTTCTTCTCTTGTATAGCTTCTTTCTCTCTCCTGGTCTTCATTGATCGATTGGCATCTTTTTTACTGAGTATACCAGAGTCTCCGATCTTAGGAATCTCTCTTTTGGTGATTTGTCGCTTCCGAGTGGCCTGTATCTCCCTTATTCGACTAACTGTATCGCTCATCATCGCAAGCTCTTCCGCCGTACGTTTATGATGGTAGAACGCACGTTGTAGGCCTCGTTGGAGCTTTGGTGTGAGGGCCTCTGTAGTGAATATCTTCGAAAGCTTTTTTTGATTCTTCTCGAGGTCTTGGGCACTCTTTGGAGGGGTGTTTTCCACGCTAGAAGAAGAGATATTCGGAGGAGGTGTTGATTCACCGTATACATAAAGATCGGGCGCGAAGAGGTCTGGTATCGGCGGAAGTGTATCTTGAAGTTTTTGAATAATAATATCGCCATTCGGAGGGTATATACCACGTTATTTAAAAGAATTTCGAATGATTCGCTGGTTGAAGGTCTTGTTGCGTACGCTCACGATGTCCTTAAGAAAATCCGCCTTCCGCGCGGGGATCCCACCCCACTGAGAAATGAGGTTATTTTGCTTGCGAAAATGTTGTTTATAAGCAAGAAAAGGCTTGCCATCAAGAGGCTGGCAAATATGAGTCGTATGAGGCCGAAAACAAAAAGGGATAATGTCGTAAACCTCGCAGAGTTGAAGAAATTCGACGGTCTTATGGGACTCATGACCATCGAATATCAATACACGTTTTTCACCCCTCTTTACTCGATCTTTTGTAGCTTCATGAAATTTTTGAAGCCATCCAATAGCAAGGAAGTCATTGATATATCCTTTAGGCGAAACAGCCGTCCAAAAGTGTGGTAGATCAGCAGCCGCATTCATCGAAGTTATAGATTAAGTGTGATGGGAGACCTTTGAGTACGTTCGCAAGCTGATTATACCAGTGCTGTAGGTATCCTACATCTTCTGCTTCAAGACGTTTCTTATCCTTCATTTTCTGTGTCACAGGGCCTAACATAAGATGTGGTGGAAGTCTTTTCTCGAAACGATACGCCCACATCTTACTGACTTCATGATTTGAACCAGCACGTACGAGAGCCCGATTCGCCCACTCTGTGAGCATCTCAGGGGTAACGGGGAGGTATAAATCACGCATACGAATGATCCACTGGACTAGAGCTTTCTCCTGATACTCATCAAGAGCTTTATTCTTAGGTGTATAGGCGTTACGAGCCTGTCGTCCCCGGCGAACGCGACCGCGCAGTATCTCATACGGAATGTCATATTCCCGCGCGATCTTCGCAAGATTCGGTTTCTTTTCGCACTGGGCGGCTTGGCAGGCCTCGAGTACATGGGATTCGTCTATTTTGGGTGCCTTTGGCATGGTGGGTAGGTGGGAATAAAGTCAAGAAGATGAATGGCTTCAAAATTGGTTTTCCGGTGTGAATTGGTTTTCCGGTGTGGTGCACCCCCATCCCGAAGGCGGTGGGGGGGGCACTGGAAGGCACGGCTAAACCTTTTTTGTGCACGGGCCTAGGTTTCCCGAGTGATTTGACTATGTCAACAAAAGAGGGTCGCAATTTTACTAGTGCGCCCGGAATATTCAGCACCCCCATCTGCCTGATGATCCTCAGGCTCTCAACGACCTTACTAAGCTCATCCCCTATTTATTCTGCACTTTCTATAGTATATAAAAAACACACTCTCAAGTACTCAATTGGCTATGCCCGTACTAGTCCGTACTGTAACGACCACTTTCCGTCAATCGTTTTGATCGGAAACAACCTGTCTATTTCTACAAATACCGCGGGGATTATTCTCGGTGGTGCAGCTGTGTCCCTGAACTACCCCGCCCTCATCACAACAGGCCCTAAAGAATTGGATCGCAGTTTATTTCTTCGTTCCAGTACACTGGCATCGTTAATCTATATCGAGAACTGTGCTCTCTATGAACTTAAAGCTTATACTAGCAAACCGAACGTTTAAGATATCAAGACCCCTTAGGTGACAGGTAAAGTTGTCTCTCATTGTACTGAAAATAAGCGTGTAGTTTCACGTAACAGGCTCTTGGGCAATGAGCACGCAGGAATAGCAAATCGGGCTCAGGCGCTCATCTCAATAAACAAGAACGTATAGACATGCCTCGCATCAGCTTGTATCAATAAATTTGGCGTAGTTGTCGTAACGCTAGGGTCACCTCAAGATCGGCAGCATCTTTTCGCCCAAACAGCTGGAATCCCACAAGCAATCTTTTCAGCCAGCTTTCCTGGCTCATAGCGAGCCTAGCAATACTATAATTGCTATTTGACTTGAACAAGCTGACCGATCTGATTAAGCTCGGTTTTAGCCTTTCGATCATAAAATCATCCAACAAGCCCTCTTCTTCGATCAAAAAGATTGTTAGGAGAATGTAGATCATCCTAGAGGAAATGGGTATATTAAAAGTTTCCGCTGCAATCCTCAGTCTGGAGTCGACTATCATCGAAGAACGCGGACTCTGTCTTTGCCCATCCATGTCGACGCCAAGAGTAAGATATTGTAACCCTCGAATTAGTTGCCGTCGCATGTCGCTGAGTCGTTGGAAAGGAGTGCCGGCGAGACAGGCCATGCAATTGCACGCAAAGCCCAAGGCTTCGTGACGTTCATATCTGGTTCTGCATTCGAAATCTGTGTTATAACAAAAGGTGACCTCTTCACCGACGTCTATGTCTTGAGTCGCAAAAGCTGAAATAATCTCCCCGCTAGTAGTGGGGATTTTTGAATTTGGTGTACAAGAATGGTTGAGGCGGGAGTGAAGAGGAAATAAGCCATGAGCTGGAAGCTTGTTGGGGTCTGACGTTACGATGCCAAAAGAGTTCTCGGCGAAGGCTGCATTCAAGCTTCTAAAAAGCCTCGACCCATTGTCCCGAAGGAGTAGGAATTCTGCTTTCTGACTGGGTAGCAATCTCTGAAAGGACATTGCGACGTGCTCTTCCGTGATGTCGGTATGCGGCCTTGGGATAATGAAGAGTGGCTTTTCGCTCAAAATTCGAGATCCTCGCTCAATGTGTCTTGTGGCGAAAGCACCCCATCCTTTGCCGGGCGAGGGTCGTAGCTCTAATGGTGAATTACTGGGTATTTGAAGCTGGTGGTATGCTTGCACAGAGGGTTTATTAGCCTCACTATCAGGCTACGGAAAGGGTGACCAACGGTGACTGGAAGAACCTGCGCCAGGTGTTGACATTTCGAGGATGAGACTGGACTGGAGTGGGTTTTTGGTAGCTTGGGTACAATAAATACCAGGAGTGGCGTCGTGAGTCACGGTGCACTATGAACTTCTCTAGCCCATAGCTTAGTGTGACAGGTCACCTTTAGAAAGCCCTTTGTGGAAGTCAAGACGCCGATGCATTATTTCTGACACGTCGTGCAGCGGAGAAGCTGTGCCCGCCACCTCCTTTTTCTCTATCCACAATCTCTCCACGTCAAAGCTCTCACACTGCGATGGAAAACCCCGCGACAGACTCGGTGAATAAGTTCTTGGAGACGTCTAATAAATATGCTATGTCTTCAAGCCACGGAACCTGGCTTGCTTCGACGACTTCATCGGTGGTCATGCATGCATTCTAGGGAAAGTCTCTAGCACGGCACCTGCAGAAACCCTATTTGTAAATTGTGATACGTCGTGCCTCGGAGAACGCGACCTAGCAAATAAAATTAACATTGATCAATTACAGTTTGACAGAAGCGGGGGTGGGCAGGCATGCATTTAGGCCGCAAGTTTTGGTCTGATACACGTAATAAACCAAATCCTCAAACCCAGCAAGCTTCGAAGAGACGTGAGCTCACGTCAACTTCCTTATTCCCTATGAGAGACAAACGAGTCTCACTACTCAAATATCGTACCCCTCACGGTTCCAGCATGGCTCAGTCAGACAAGTGTCTTCCATGGCCGCCTAAGCCACTACTCTAATCGAACTCTCTCTCAGTATAGAATGTAAAGTTCGGTCAACTGCACAGCATAGCTAGCTTTAGGTTCTATTTTGATCTATTACTAGATTGTTTTTATATAATTGTTCATTTCAAAAATGGCATGCCTCAAAATCCAAAGTAGAGATTGGAAGAATGGGCATGTTGAATTTTCTACGGTATATTAAGCTTTCTTGAACAATTCGACTCAACCTTAATTTATCTTGATCAATAGAGAGCTGGGCCTAATAATTCGCAAGATTGAAAAGTCGAAAAGGTTAAATCACAAATAATGGTTTCAGCATTCAAATCTCCACCCCACCAGTGTCGGAATCATCACTCTCAGCCTCTGCGCTGATCTCACTGGGAAAATAGGGAACGCCCCGAGGATTAAAACTTGGGTCGATGTGAGGTTTCCGAGAACCCTGCCCAGCCCCATATTGAAGGTCAAGCGTCTTTCGTAGTTCGTCAAGGGAGAGGGTAGCCACGGATGGGCCGAGGTTTGTTTCGATGTCAATAATGGTTGAGGTGCCTCCCGCTGTGGAGTCCGCGAAGCCCATCCGCTTACCAACATTGGTAACGATATCGTTTGTTAAAGCCCCCCTGACAGTGTCGATCATGCGAAACAGAACATCCTCTTGATGCTGAAAGCGCGTCGCGGCATTCTGTTCATCCGTGCGGACATCAGGAAGCCGCCACTTCAGATAGAGTTTCTGGTGGGAAGGAGGGCTCGCATAGCCTCCCGGGTGGCAAGACATGAACAGATGGCAGAGATAGCATGCCGGCTTGCTGCATCCAATGTACTTGTCCCTCTCGTTTAGGAACCTGCCGCCCGTCTGCTCAAAGTGATCGAGGACTAAAAGTTCCGCGTGCACGCGCGTTTTGCCTTTACAGATATCCTTGGACAGCACCCGGTCCAGTTCTTTCTCTGAGTAAATTTGCTGCAAATGCTGCAGGAAAATATCTCGCTTTGCCGCGTCAGAGAACATACGGTGACTAATGTCCTGAATGTTGCAAGTACGGGCCAAAAGAGCGATTCGGTCCTCCCGCGACCCGCCAATCGTCTCGATGCGCAAGCCTCGCGATAACTCTGAGCGAAGCCTAATGGTGGCCTGGATCAGTCGCTTACACTGAGCCACGTGCTTCCCCAGTTTGTAGAGCAGCTTATGGAGTCTCTCGAAATTACGGGATTGTTCAAGGCTCCCGGTGGTGTGATGTAAGGCCTTGAACACCTCCCGGTCCCTATAGCTGGAGAGGGCTAGGCTTGGCATATCGTTTTCCTGAAGCTGCGTACTGCCCTTCGAAAAGTACGTTGCAAACCAGTCGCGGATGTTGAGGATGCTGTCGTGATCTGCTCGTGGTGGTCCAGGCTCGGTATCCAATTTTCCCATCACCCACGGGACAAACTTTTTCACCTGCTGGTAGTATTCGAAAATTTTGGGGGTGTTGAGGTCCAGTACATGGGTAGTCAATATTTTCATTACCCCTCGGCCCTCATTCGTGTCTAGTCGAACCGTAGGCTTATCAATAATCCATGAAAGTATCATGAGCACCTTCTCCAGAAGAGTGACGACTGCCGGATCAATACCATCGTTGGCAGCCAGCAGAACCACTATCGCATCGGGGGCCTCTTCGAGGGCTGCGGCGGTGACGTAGCCAGGTTTCTTCTGGTATGCACATATATAGGCAATGGCGTCAACAAAGGATCGATAACATCTGGGGGCAGTCAACCCCGGGCCTTCAAGGGATATATCGCCGGGCTTGATTCGATCCCCTCGGACTTCACTCAGAGTGTGGAGCAAGCAGAGAGGCTCGTAAAGCAACCGCAGTCTTTTAGGCTGGTGGGAGATCAGCGGAGACCTTGAATGTCCTCCGCTCATTATGTCCTACTCGAGAAAGTTTGCCAAATGAAGATCACAGACACCAGTTTTCTTGACCTGTGAATATGCCCGCTGCAAGCTTGATGTATATACTCTAGAATCCATCTTCTCTTCCTCGCTACACTTCTTCTGACTCATTGCGCCTAGATAATTTGTGGGCAATCTCGTCATCCAGCTTTGCTGCCCAACGCTAGCCATTATCTTGTTTGTCTTTCGCTCCCTTTCTATTGCTTTCCAACGGTTTCCGCCCTGTCATTATCCTTTGCCTTTCAATCTGCATCCCTGTCTTTTGCTTACTGTATCCTAACTCGCTACTCGACGCAAGCTAGATTGAAGCCATGTCATACTGCCTCGATACTCATGCAGGTCTCAAGGTAATTCTGCTGTGCACAGACATACTCATTGTTGCGGTCTCCCGGGTCGGGGGCTCATGTTGCCATGCATTGCGTCTCTTTCTACTGTTGCGGGGTCGGTTAGTCTTGTGTTTGCCATGAAAGACAGTTAACAGTACGACCCACTCCGCCTGGCCAACACATCTGCGAAAGGATGGCACGTCACGCTCTAAATCACTTCCTTGTGTACTTCCTTTGAGGGCCTGTAAATAAATTAATAAGACGTAATGTCTCTAGGCTAGAGCCTCACGGTGGATCACAGCTGAAGAATTTCCCATCCTGTGGTGGTTGCATCTCTGATAACAACCGTTTCTATAAGGTGAGCGGGGAGACCATGCACGGATTTCAATAATTCTCTAACCTGGAAAATCTAGATTATAGCTTTTCTATCAGCCCGAAGTATGAGCATGGCCAGTCTACAAAGTCGCAGTGAAGACACCGGCTTTGACAGTGAGTCTAATGGCCATCTGTCTCCCACCTGCATCTAAAATGACGCCAGGCCGTTTATAGATCTTCTCATCGGCACCCTTCTCTTTCGGATATCCATTATCTCGCTGCTTGCCAGCTCTGAACTGTCGCACAAGGAGACTGAGGTTAGCCCACTTTTTCGGTCATTTCTCGCCGGCTGTCGGACTCACGCAGACACAGAATTATTGCAACCAATCTTTCCAGACGTTTCACTGGGTGCAAATAAAGGGTGCCTCAAAATTGTTGACGATCCTCGAAAAGCTATCGAAGAAGAGAGCAGTGCCGGAGATCTTGTGGTCGCCCGCGTAGGGCAGTCCTACAGATGCTGCCCTGAGTCGCAAAGATTTCCGCTCTTATGGAACCTGGCCGATATCTTCTCTCTTCTTGCTCCAGGGAAAGCCCACCGTGGCAGCCATCTAACGACGAGTATTGAAACGTCTTGCTGCATACCAGACGTTCTCTCTAGCGCATATCCGAACTTCGCATTCCCATAATATTGGCGTCTGCGGCTTCTATTTCTTTGCCTTTAATGTAGAATTATTTGAATAAGTATGGAAATTTTTTGCATTTAAATCCGTGTAAGCATCAAGTGTTGAGACTCAGGAGACTAAAAGACTGAGGGCATGCAAGTGAGGCACTCTCAACAACCGTGAAGGAGCCGAGAACGTACAGCCATATAAAATACCTGCTCAAGGGAGCGGGAAACATGTCTTTTCCATTTTCAGGCACATTCGGGCCAACTTTGCACTCTTTCTTTCCGATCGACAGAAGCGGCGCTGCAAGTCTGTATCCTTATGGGCGCCTTGGCCAGTACTGTAAAAGGTTTCTGTTAATCGGCCAAGCTCATAGGCCTCTAGGAGCATAATTTAGAACCTGTTGGCGAACCAAAATTGTAGGATGGGTCATTGTTGGTATGTCTCATTCTACGGGATTGGAAGGTGCCGTGCGTCTGAGAAGAAGAGATAGACCTTATGCAAGTATGAGTGGGCTTTATTTCGTGGAATAGAAGCGGGGTTTTCAAGCACGGATCTGTTCTCTCTCAGATCTCAAGGAAGGCCATGTTACTAAACCCATTCGGCGAAAGGACCCCTGCGTAGGCACTCGGGGAACACACCTTAAACACCCCTCATGCAACAATGTTCTCACATTTATCTTTCATTTGAGCATTTGGAACTTGTCGTGAACTCAAAGTTCAAACATCATATGTAAGACGCGTCCTAACAGCCGGTGGCTCCAAATTTCCCCGCGGTATTGCCAACAGTGCTTCTTTTATGGGCATTGTGGTCAAGGTGATATTTAGAGCGTTCCGAGTAATCAAAGTGGTTGCAGGGTCCAAAAACAGGGACTTTTGTGACAGGGTGTCGACCCTAGGCGACTGCGATATATCATTATACAAACCCTCAACATGGTATGGGTTATCACATGTATATTTTCAGTCGAAGTGTCCAGGGTTGATTCATGTCAGCATATTCAGTTTTCTATATCAGTTTCGAAGTAACCGACCACATTTCAATCATCAGGTGTTCAGGTCATCTCGAAGTTGGAGAGCTGTAAAGCGGTATATCTCTCCAGCGCCACTATTTTCGTTGATGTCATCTTGTCTGGTATTAGATGTCCTACTCCCTTTCATTACGTAGCCCATTACCTCAGGTCAGAACAATAGAGCACTCGCAGGCACCCGTTTGGTGCTGATGTGTGAAGCCAAAGTTGGTATCATCCTGGATACGGTCGATTTGGCGAAGCTAAAAGAGAAGCTGGCTGCCTGTTTGGCCGCGTGCCATCGTTGGAGGAGTGCCGCGAAACATGCAAGTGGTTTTGTAAACTGGCTGACCAGACCAATGCTATTGATAGATGTGAAAAATGCGTGAACGGCGCGCTTTCACACACGAACAGGCTCGCAAATACCCATGAGCTGACTCGATAAATGAGGGTGGTGTAGCTTTGCGCCCACGGATGGTGCGTGTCATGGGGGATATGTTACTTGCAGTCACCACCACCGACATGGTGAGTATGATCTATAAGGCCAACCCGAGCCCAATCCAACAAGTACACCTAGGAACCCTAGGATATTAAGCATTCAATAGAAAAGCTCGTCAAAATTAATACCTATATTTAAGAAAAAATTAAAATTAAAACTAGAACAACTTTGGTTTCTATTAAAATGGTCCCCGTGAGGCCGGCACTTGTTGGCCGAATGCATGAAGCATCGGGAAAGATTCTCAACGAGCACAGCGTTAAGTCTCACGTAGAGACTTCTATGGAATTGCAGCATTAGGTTTCTTATTGCGACCCACTTCTAGTAAAAGACTTAAACCACCTACCAGAGCCGTGAGACGTATTAGATGCTCGATCGGTGATCTGCGTTACAAATTCCAGTACCTATATCTTGTTGTTCAAGCCAGGGCTAACTCTCATCGATACTCAAAACTAGTCTAGGATAAGGTAAGACTTGAAGTACTCAAGCCTAGTTCTTGTGATTTCACAGCAAAGAGGAAACCATGGCGAGAAAATGCGAACTGTATCTTTTCCTACTATGCAGCACGAAGGAAAGACAGAAATATTTCCAAGTTTACCACGACATAATTGAGCCAACGAAGAAAATGTTCACATGGTACCACACTCCCGCATACAACTAATCAAGGAGCACGGAGTTGAACAGTCTGTGCCCCGTATCGGTGGGCCCTTTGCCGGTGAATTGATTATTCGACAGGCGAAGAGCAACGAAGGACAGACGCCGGAATCGCGAGAGCTCTTGCGCAATCATACTGGTGGAAACCGATTTTGCCTGGATGACACCAGCAACGACGATAATGCGGATAGAGGCATGAAGGTTTCGAATGTGCTGCACGAATTCCAAGATTGACTGGCCGGTGTTGACTACCGAGTCAACGAGAAAGATTGTCTCGCGACCTTGAAGATGCTTATGCTGAATATCGCCTGGGTTTTTTGCATGAAGAAACATGGCAAGTGGCAAAACCCTGTTCACGCCCAATGCCATTGGTTCACCACCTCGCATCAAAGGCACAATCAAGGTCTCTTCCTCATGAAGAATTCGATAACCATCTGTTTTATGACCTTGAACATGGGTAATATGGCACGTCTCAACGCCAAGAATTTGGGTACAGAACTCAGTGGCAAGATACCATCCAACTTGGGAATGTGCATCCCGCAGTGCTGGCCCCGAGATCGCTGCATCGCGCATTGGTGTCATGAGCAATTTGGCCGCAAAACGATCAGTAGCATGAAGAAGATGAAGGCTTTGGCGCCGGACAAATAAAGAGTCAACAAAAAATTGATCCGTCAGTTGTACTAAAGGTAGCCGGGACGTATCAAGGCGAGCAGTTGCATTTGACGGGAGCACAGCCTGGCGCGGCCGAAATCCGGCCTTTCCGATAGATCTTGTCAAAGCCTCGTCCATGCTAGTACTTCTCAATGCTTTGTCGCCCGTCACAACAATAGCTTGGTTGGCCGCTTGGAGCATTTCCACATCCAGTGGACTGTCGCCAAAGGCCCAAACATAAGAGTCGTGCACATCACGCAAACGCGTCACGAGTGCCGCTTTCAGTGCGGGTGTCATGACAAGAGCGTCGGACAAGCGCCCCCCGCCGATCACTGTAACTGTTTTCGCCAGACCCTCCCTCTTCAGAACCTTCTCCCAGACTCTGCGAAGTCCACAGGTTAACACCAGCGCGCGGACATGAGTCTGACCTGACACTAAGTGCAGAAGATCTAAAATCTCAGAATGGACCTTGATCATGAGGGCCACTTTGTCGCAGCAATCATCATATTCTTTGTTGTCGCCAATGACTTCTTCGCAAAGGAAGGTCGCTTGGCGGAAGGCAGTATATGAGTAGTGCAAAGGGCTGCTAAACAAACTTTTCAAGGGGAATCTCTCGTCCGCCTCAGCCGAAGGTATGGAAGCCAGCTCCCAAAATAGTTCACCGCTGTCCTGTGGTGCGAGTGTCTTGTCGGCGTCAAAGACTAGCACGGTCTCCGGCCGCTCGGATCCGGTCGTTATGAAGTCGTCCATGCGTTGCTGGGCCAGTCTGGAATTCAAATCGTCTGTATGGGTCTTAAGATCCTGAATGAAGGGAACAATTTTCCCCATGGATACCTGGCGTTGGGTAATGGTCGTGAAAATGATGTCGTGGGACCTGCAAAGGTGACGCAGTTGTTTTTTCTCCTCTTGCTGCCATTTGATCAAATGAGTAATTGACACTGCTGGACGACTTCGTTTCTGATCACTCGACCGATACTCCGCAATGTCCTCAGCCGGCACATCAAGATATAAAATGTGAGTGTAGGTGTCTAAATCAGCTGGTGTATACACCAATTGACCAGCAACTTCGTCTTCGGCCCAAAACATGGCATGTCCAGTGACTATGGCACTTCTCCCACTGTCGGAGCTCTCTTGCTTGATCCTTCGAATCGCACGATCACGGACCCCTTCTTTGTCATCTTCCCTCAATTTCTGGAATGCTTCAAGCCCCCCAGGCGTGCCCGCTGCAATCACCTGGCTGCCATCATAAAAGGAGAACTCGGCATGACTCAGGCCACATTTGAGAATATCCAGCAAGAATGATTTGCCAGATCCAGGGAGGCCATAGAGGCCAATGATGACTGGTTTTGGACAGTCGGCTGACGCCGGGTTGGTGGACGTGAGATCGTGGCTGTCACTGCCATTGAGACACGATACAGTGGGAGGCTGCATGACTGAAGCTTTGGTAGAACAGGAGTTGATATCAAGCAAAGTAACTGTGAAAGTTGGTTCTCGATGGAGAAAGACAAGTACACCCTATACTAGCAAGGTTTATATCATGATCTTCTATAGAAAGTAGCGGTCTAAGGGTACACGTGGACCGGTAGGTATAGTAGGCGTTGAAAAAGGAGAGAATATCGAAATCAGACAAAGTGAGCGAAAACAAAGCGAGCGACTCGGCGATCACAAGGTGCCACGTATCACCAGCAGGCCATGCAAGACCATGTATTAAGTCGCGCAATGAATATCCCGAATCCCTGAGCTGCAGCGCGGTGATCAAGGTAGAAGAGGCCAGACACGTCGGAGGCCACGGCTGACTCGCTGGAATATTTCGGGGTCCATTTGATGGCGACAGGCCACAGAAGCGACCTTTTCATCCTTGCTCGGGTTCACCACTTCATGTATCGAGTTCCAGCGTTCTTCCTTGCACATGAGAGCAGCTACTTTGAAAAAGAACCATCGCGAGGTGAACTTGGCCAACATGTAAGCACAGATTGGGACGATTCGGTACCCCGAGAGAGAAGGAATCCGGCGAGATGGAAATCCGTCATATTGAGCGCGTGTAATTGAAAAAATGACGTCTGAAGCTTCACTCAATCTAGAGAAATGTGTTTTTGCAAGTCGGAGCTCCTGAAATTCCTCGCGAAGTCTGTCTCGATGCCAGGACGCTTGGGGCTGCCGAGGAAGATTCAAGCTCTTGAGCCAAAGCCGTAGTGTTGCTTGCCCCAGTTGTATTGGTACTTGTGCCACTGAATGCATATTGAAGTTCAATGGTAAGAAGTTACGGTCATCAAATCGTCAGGTTGTCAACGAGCAAGGTTCGTCAATGGCTAGAAAGGGGCCGCTAAGATCCAAGTCGTCATCGGGGACGGAACATCTCAGGTTCCGATTCTTGTTGCTGCGGCAAAGCGCGCCAGGCCGTCTACTAACTAATCATCTTTCGATGGTGTCCCCAGATCCGGAAATTACGATTCTCCACCTTTCATTGCTTACTGCATGCGTTCCGCATGGTGGGCGTTCCACATTTCGAGCTTCCCGCATCGTAGGCCTCCCGCATCGTAGGCCTCCCGCATCGTAGGCCTCCCGCATCGTAGGCCTCCCGCATCGTAGGCCTCCCGCATCGTAGGCCTCCCGCATCGTAGGCCTCCCGCATCGTAGGCCTCCCGCATCGTAGGCCTCCCGCATCGTAGGCCTCCCGCATCGTAGGCCTCCCGCATCGTATGCCTCCTGCATAGCGACCTCCTGCATGGTGGCATGGTGTACTTGGACCTATTGGGAATATGGCTGGCAGCCAATCATTGACCTGGTATCATCTGTTGGGTCAAAAGTTGGAATATCCGACTATAAATAGACTGCGGCACATCCGCAATTGCGGATCCAACTTTCACATCCGCTCCGCAACTTGCGGATTTGAGGATCCTACTTCAAAATCCGCATCCGCACTAGCATAAAACTCGCTAAATTATCCTATTTTAGTTGGCCACGTGACATTTATGCTGCTGACATACTTTTGTTTTTATCAATAGTATACAAGTGTTCTGGGTATAACAGTACTCACCTTCAGTTCCCCCCCACTTACTATATGAAATATTGAGAAACAATGTTGTATCTGAATCTATATGGTATTCTAATTATCTAATGTTCCTAAATTACTAGTTTAATCAGTGTTGGTAGTTTGTAATTTAAGGATTACCAGTCCATCTCCATTGTTGTCGCGGAAATATATATTTGTTACATGAAGAATGAACTATATTTCTTCACAAAGCCCTGTAGTACTTCCAAACCACACTTAATACCCTCCAATCATTATTGAAAATAGCACTGTTAGATTAAGAAAAGCCTCAAATAGCTATATTTTCCATCAAATTAATGTTTACTAGGAAAGATAGAGAGAAATTAGTTTTTCCTTATGATTTTGCGGACTTGAGATATTTCCCAATATGTATATGTGGATGCTAGCGGATGCCAGCGGATCATCGCGGATCCTCCTTTGACATCCGCATCCGCAAGCTGCGGATTTGCGGATTCTACCTATTTTACTACATCCGCGGATCTTGCGGATGCTGCCGCAGCCTAACTATAAATATACAAAGTCCTCCGTCGGCCCTTACCTATGTTCTCACTTACCCTTTTAACAGGAAGTCAAAATTGGCGCTCAAGCGGGAGAGACCAAATATTAGAAGTATGGGCTCGGCAACTCTAATCAAGATCTAGAGATCGATCCAAAACGTGTCGGTCGCCCCAGGCTTGACCCATACCAGAGGCTTCTCGGTCGATTTTACGAGCAGCTGTTTCTTTTGAATGCACTTGGACAGACACGTGACAACCACACAACTTCATCTTGCGAGCTTGATGTCACCCGGGCGCGACGCCGACGATTTCTGCAAAATCTTTGATACATTTGTGAATTCAAAAAAGGGGGCAGCGCATGCACTGCAATTGGGCTTGAGGAGCTCAATACGTGCTACAACTTCTGTGTGGCTTCGAATAACGAAACCGATAAAATCGCTACGTTTCTCCAAAACGTCCTCAACGTTTTGCGGGCCATAGCCCCTCAAGCTGGCACAAATGATACTTGCAGAGAATCAATGTTCTTTCAGCTATGCATTGGATTTGCTGCTGAGCGCATCGAACAGGAAAGCAAGTGTCTTCGCAGAAACGTAAAAGACTGTCTTTCCAAGCTGAACAGACAAAATGCAGTTTCCGGTGTGTCCGTCCCTTTCACCTATCAATATAGATCCTCTTGTAATTTGTTAATCGATTCAAAGGTTCGCGGTTGATTAAATGGCTGCAAACAGCTATTGGCTTCGATGATCACTTCAGACTTTGCAAATTCGCGCACGACGACCGCCATTCCGATCATATGAATGAGATTTTGAGCAGGGGTTTGGAAGATGAGAGACGGTCAGGCCCTACCAGCAGGCGCTCATCTTTTATCCTCGTACGACATTACATCGGCCGGCTTGCACACCATATACGGGCTATTAAAGAGCTGCTTCGGGATACCCAGGACCTGAGTCACCTCCTTGATAACTACGCTGTCTGTAAGATTTATGCACCATCCGCTGTACCTCCACCCATTCGCGACTCGCATACCAACCTTCGGGGAATTCTGAACCGAATGTTCAAGAACAATGATAGTGAAAGAAAAATGCTCGACGGTGGTCTTCTCCACTTGGAAAAGGTGGTCGGGATCTTTAAAGATTTTCTGCGTCCATATGATGGCTCCTTGCTCGATGTCCATGCAGAGGTCCAAGTGTTGGAGTACTTCTACAAGATGCAAAAGTCATTCGCGGGTGACGATCGTTTCATCGCTTGTAGTAAGCCAGCTTGCCTCTGCTGCGAAATGTACTTGAAATATCATCCAGCCCGTGTGATGGTGTCTTCTTCTCACCGCAAAATTTGGACGAAGTGGAGTCCCCCACATGTGCAACAATTTGACAACGAAAATCCTGCCGCCAGGCAACAAAAGGATATCTTGATTAAGATGACCCAAGACCTTCGCGAGCAAGTGATTACCCATGTTTTGCAACGCTTACCACCAAACCGTTGGCATCCAGATTCAATCACAAACATCACGAATATCCAGCAATTTGGCATCAGCTCTGACTCGCTCGAGGTATCCGGTGCAGAAAGTCCCGAGACTCCCCCAAGTACGTATTCACGAATTCATCAAAGCAGGTCCAACAGTCCTCCCGACACAGACCTTTCGGATAATTTAGATGCAGAAACGGAATTTGATGAAGATTCTGGCTCGGAAAATGGGGGAGTCCTCTTTTTGACAGCACTTGAAGGAGCTCAAATACGTGCTGAACCTTATTCTATACATCTCGAGGAACACGTATTTAAATCAGCGAGAAGCAATTTAATAGCATGAATGAATTGAATCTACACCATGTATTCATTTAAAGGCTTCTAACTTTTTTCCCGAGGACAGCTGCCAGAAGGCGCTAGGTGCCAAAACGACATCTTCCTCCGTGTCCCTTGACACCTCCCTATTATTGGCTGTCACTCGCCACCCTATCCGGTTGTGGATGTACGTTGGTGGGTCCCCGTCGTAGACTCTCCCATCTTCCCACTCACACAACTGGAGAAATTTGAGGTCAGGTGAGGCTGGTTCACTCGTCGGGTCGAAGCTATTCTCAACTGCTCTCAACGAGGAAGGGCTCAGGTCCGATAGCACTGCGTAGGGGCTACCAGAATAGCCAGACGTTGGGACGTAATCCGAGTGATGTTCCCATGGTTCGTAGCCCGTAAACTGCGTTGCATCATCGAGGCGAAGTTGGTTCATCTCTCACATTGATCACGATCCTTGTAAAAAACGTTAGCTGGGAGTACCAGGTTAGGATTGAGGCTGGTAACGAATGGAAAGTGCACTAGATAGCAAAATTCATGGAGGTAGACGAAAACATCTTTCCCTACCAGGTTTAGTTCCTCCATGCGGGCTATTGCACTATGACTGGCAAGCGAAAACGGTGGTTTGCTGCATGTGGAAGGAATGGGTGGAAAGAGGCAAAACGTGGCTGACGGGAGAGGGGAAGCTAGCTGGCGATCTACCAAGCAATTCCAAGTGGTTCTATCTAATATACGGTACTGTGACAATGACTTATTGCTGGCCATAAAATCATTACGATGACAGTTTTGCTAGAATTCCGAGGCGGTAGCCTAACCCAGCCTAGCGCGCGTCGGAATTAGTTTCTTCGAATCAAGAAGGAAGAGTTTGGAGGTATAGCTGATTTCGAAAAGTACTGTACTCGATCCTTCAAGAAGCTAGGTTGAATCTGGCAGTCTGAAAGCATCGGACATGGAGGATCCTCATGCCAACAAGGCAAACATCATTATAGTGTGTCAAAATACTGCGTGGGCCATGTATCAGGTGCACCAATCGAAACACAACGAGTCTACATTGTAAATTACGAGGCGCCCACCAAAGATGTATGGGCCTAACGAATGACTAATCTACAATCTGTTCTTGGCGTATTATTCCGGCACTGAGATATTCCGGTACCCGAAATACCACCGGCCTGTTCATTCCGACAAAAACCCTGCAGTAGCGCCCGACATCGGCTTCCATATCAGTCACATGGAAGGCCCCTTTCAGACCCTAATCATATGATCCTTACATCTGGATGTGGTTTAAGCCCGTACTTTTGATGGTATTTCTGCTTTGAACGGTAAAATACGAACGAACAAGAGCTGAAACATGATACGTCCATTTACCTTTGTCAACGAGTACTTGTTTTTGTTTCTGGCGAATCGTGTGCGTTTGGCAAGATACTCCGCCCTCATGACCTAAAATTTTAAGACCGACCGCTAGGACTGGTTCCAAGTCGATTCTGGCTCATTTGCCTTGCCTCTAGCATATTCAGGCTCTCCGGCGAGCATCTCATCAATAATATATATCATTTACTTTATATCTCTACCCATTTCTGATAAACAGAAGGCCGGTGTCTTAGCCTCGCTCCTAAAATATATGAATGACCACTCCAACCGCGCCTTATAATGGAGGAAAACGAAATTTCATCGAATTCTTCATACGATTCTGCAATGACACCAATGCATACCAGTCTATACGAATCCTACACTGAGCTCGCTTTACCACCGTATCCCGCACAGAAGATAGGACCACCTTATAAAGGAGCGACTTTCATCATTCGCGATCTTCAGAGAGGCTTCGTTATCGGACTTACGGATGGAAATTTGTGCTTGCTACCTGGAGAAAATGGAAATCTATTGGTCAATTGTGGTGACGGGCATGGCAATCACTGGCGCTGTGTGGAAAACAAGGACCGCTGGTTGGGCTTCAAGAATGCGGTTTCAGGGGAGTTTATCGGACATGACAATAACCGAAAAAACTGGCGTTTCATGGCCAAGGTAGAAGCCCACAATCAATGGGAATTTTTCTGTGTCCGCCATCATCCGAACGGCGGCTATGAGATGCTTGTGAAGCATTGGGATGGCTTTCGTGCTATGAAAGTAGGCGGCATTGATGACAGGGAGCTGATGGTTGCTGGTGAAGGAAAAGGCGGAACAGCATGGGAATTTTTGGAAGTTTAGATGGGGGTTGCGTGAAGTATAAAGCAAAACTCAGGAGATCATCTACATAGTGTTTATAGCTGTAGTCAACCTGGTATATGAGCCTAGCTGTTTAGAAGAGAAGTGGAGTTTTGCCGCTTAAGATGTTGCTTTGCTTGCACTATGTCTTGCCTTTGTGTGGACCTTTCGAGCTCCGGAGCTCTAGGCTTGAGTGTATATGCTCTTGGATCGCTCTTAGACTCTATCAAAGGGACGAATATGATTATGGGTGGATACAGAACGTTTTTAAATTACGTTTTTATGTGATTAGGGCTTGAAAGAGTCTCTCTGTCAATATTATGGAAGGTGAACCAGGACGGGACTATACTCTACTAGGATGTATACATCCCTTTTACCCCCATGGGATAGGTATGGGTCTGTAGGTGGATTTCGCTTCCGGTTGATAGATCGCTCTAGGCATCACTTGATCTCCTATCTATGGCTACGATTGTATTATTTCTGAGGGTCGGTGAGGAACGCTGCGCGGTCTAAAGGCTATCACAGCCACGTATATCTTTGTGCGTACAACTTGTCAGACCCTCCCTTTTCAAGATAATTAATTTAAGTCAACTGGTATAAGTTCCCTGCTTTGCGAATAGAATCACGACGATGAATGTAATCTCGAAGCTCTCCCAGACCTCCTTGATGTTTAGACCAAATCATTGAATGATTGCCTAAATCATCTCTGCCCTCGACTAACATTTGTATCGGTACCTCGTAGTATGAGTCGATCTCTAAGTATGAATCCTTGACAATCTCGGGATGAATCGTACGGCATCTCTATGATGCCATTCAACATTGGTTCGGAGTCGGAGTTGGATTGAATAGCCCTTATTTCGTGTTGGCGAGATAGGGACGTAGTCGCCGTCATCCTTCAACGTCGAGGTAATGCTGTTTATTTGAGTACCAGCTAAGTCCCGTCAATACTGCCGATTGAAACAAGGTATTCAATCAATAGTCAAGTTGCCAAAGTAGTCCAAGTAGCCCAAATCCGGTATGCTTGCCCATGTCTAATAGGCGTTTGGACCAATCAGCCTAGTATTTCGAAAATCAGTACGAAAGAAGAGGTTTGCACTACAGGATGTGGGTTATTGGGACGCCTGATGCAAGTGAACCTACTCTAATGACATGCTTTATTTGGCGCTGACGAGGGAACCGAAGTTTTCAAATAACAGTGTGGGGTGATGCCCATTTACAGTTTAGCCAATCCCTGATTCCTCCGACGCATGGGACATAGATCGCCAGAGCCGGATGTGAGGCAATTTGCATGCTTAGCCTTTATCGCTAATGCCCAATGTTGAGCTGGCAAGGTACCCTCTGGGTTTCATACCCTCGTCGGTCTATTGGACAGTACCGTCTAAAGAGCGATTCTCCCATTGCAAATTAAGTTGCGCAGACTGAAATCATACAATACGTTTTTCATTCAACCGCTATGTCACGTCGAAATGTTAAGCATGTCGCATAAAAGGGGCATTGCGAAGCGCTTCTGCCTGGACTTTCCAGATAGGTTCCGCTAATCTGAGAAATTGAGGGCCGAAACTATCTCGCATTGTTTCCACGAACGCATCATCGGACCTATACAGATTTGACCGGGCGAATGGAACTTCTTCAAATTCTCTGAAAGTCAGGTATTTCCAGAGACTTTTCCAATATTTCATGGATTCTCCGGCAGCATGGTGCTCCAAGTTCACTTTTTTTGCAACAAGATAAAAAGATGATTTGATAGCATGTGCCTTGGGGTGTTTATAAAGTTGAATATCAGAAAACTGATTGAAAGCGTGAAGTATGCATACTGTCTCCCAAGACTCGACACGGTGGAGAAGTAGGACAATGGAGCCCCCGGGCTTGAGACGATGCATTGCGAATACTAGCTGTGAGACCATCAAACGCTGAGCCTCACAGTTGCTGCGGTAATTTCCTCTGGGGTGATCTCTACCTACAGCTCCTCCGCAGATTGCTATATCGTATCGGTTGTAAAGGAACGGCTGACATAGTTCGAAAATGCTGGAATCAGGATGTGCCGTCGGAATGTCTTCCTGGCAAGCCATTTCCGTGGGATACATTGTGATGTCCGCATATATGATGTTTTGGCAAATATTCTTGGCCAATACTTCGTAGCCACCAGTTTTGGTTGGGAGGGTAACAGCATCGATAAGTGGTCTTGGAAGTTCCTTTGCGGCCGTCGCAGTAAACCCACCGGGCGCCATGCAGAGGTCAAGCATGCTAGAAGAAGGAGAGTCCAGTTTGAATATGCTTGTTTCCAATGCCATTCCTTTCCCCACCTGCTTCGTCATTTCGTAGAACGATGCTTTTCCTTTTCGATTCGGTTTACTCGCATTTTTTCTTCGGTTCTCGAAAAAGGTATCACCGCTTTTATCTGACCATCCCTGAATCTTAAGTTTAGACTTCGACTTGGAAACTAAGAAGTGTTGACGAACTCTTTGCTTCAAATCTCTCAAATCTCGATAAGTTGGATGGAAGGATAGGTAATCCATCCACAGCTGGGCTGATCCAGCCACGACCTCTTCAGCCATCGTCTCTTCGCGTTCGAATCGGATGAAGAGTGTTTCAAGGCACAATTCAATGATTCAAGACATTCGCATCAACACAAGAGAATTTTCGTGTAATTTAGGGCCTAAATAGGTATAATAGAGCAGCTGCGAGAGGAGGTGGGGGCCCAATATATGAAGCAGGTTTGGACCGACACACCATGCGTGTCTCATTTTGACTTGTAGCTTTACAAGTGGTTCTAGACAGTTTATAACCTATACAGCGATGGTACAATGATTATTTTGATCTAGTCATTGGTCAACGTAACCGGCATACCGTAAAAGATAAACAAAAGATACAGAGCGGGGCACACTCGTCTCAAATATCATGCATATCGCCGGAGTGGCAGCCCTATATCTTACAAATCCCAATCAAGAATAGAAAATACAAATTTTACTCCCTTTTAGGATATCACCTCCGTTACTTGGTTTCTGATGCGTCATGTATATGTAATAAATTGATAGACACACTAAAGCAGGCCATAGCCGCTGTGACGTGGTCAAATAGAACGTGGCCAGATAGAGTTCTGTACGAGAGAAAATTGGTACATGGAGATAGATAGTTGCTTACTCCTTCGATATTCAAGGGTGTTTATGTAGGCGGTGAACGAAAACCAATCATGAAGAAAGACGTGGTTGAACCAAATAAGACTTCTGCGTGGCTACCCAATCTATACTAATGTGCAATATTTGATTCATAGTGGTCAAACAAGTTCTTCATCGTCGTATTGCCTTGTTTTGCCTTAATATTTGCTCCAGACTTGGATGGGAGAGAAGGAAGGCAGTTCGTCATAACTCTCGTGCAATCTCGGCAGCATGAGGTATATATTTCCTCACCTCGGTTCATCAAGGTGCTCACCGGATATCACTCTATTATCCCGTCTTGAATAAATCTAGCACAGAGGTGTCATCTATGGGCTTCAATGAGCGTGGGGCCTATATGACTCATGCAATTTCTCCGATCTTCGGCACCGCCAACTCAAACAATATGGGTGAACATCGACAGCAGAAACTCTACACTTGAGAGCTTGCGCATCTAGATACACCGGCATTTCCGTCTGCAGGTCTTCAAGAAGTCATCGACGCGAATCAGACTCTATAGAGTACCTTGTGTCACGGTTACTAGAATGCCGAATGTCAGATTCCTGTTCGTGCTTCTTCTGGCGATTCTTTAGGTGGGCCTAGCGCAGTGACCAATGCAAACCATCATGATGCGGTGATAACGAGTAACTGGAAATCTAAAGAAGCTGAGATGCCTTCAGATGAACATATCACTCCTTCGCCATATGATGGATTGTACTACTGCCAAGACGAGAGTTGTCGACAGCAAAATGGCTATACTTTTAAATGTGAGCTACGGTAGGTTTGAAGTTCGACCCTAGCTTTATACAATTTTAACGAATTTCAAGAAACATATTCAGACACATACTCGACCTTTCAAATGTGCCAACTGCTCCTATGCGGCTGCCGAGAGAAGAGACGTTGGTCGGCATGTTAGAGTTGCCCATAAGGGACTGGCTGAGGTCCTCTGGGGAGTCATGAAGCCATTTACCTGCACCTTATGTGGCGAGGATTTCACACGAAAAGACAACGCTTTGAAGCACCATGAAGTCAAACATGAAGCATCTTAAAAGTTTTGTTAGGACATTTCGGAATATTGTATCATTGTCTGTTCTTTGATTTTGGTCGTCGTATAAATTAATTCGGCTTGTTGTTGTAGGAGGGCTCGCATTCGCCAAGCCCGATCATAGAGCCCTTACAGTATGGCGGCCGGGGCATCCTATTATATTGGCTCCCTCGATATAGAAAAGCTCATTCATTTTATGAATGGAAAATTTGGTTGTGCATGACGGTGGCTCTCGAACCATGGGAATTTAGAATAGCGTGAACAATCTTGTGGGGAATACCCATATAATTTGCCTTGCTAAATACTTAGCGCCGAGACCACGGAAGTCCTAGTTCTAGGCAGATAAAGGTTTCTCGTTATTTCTCAGGCCCGTTGATGGTTTAGTGCTGGTTTATACTGCCTCTAGAGGAGAGCCTCTCGCACTCGTGAATTCCTGCATACCGAACGGCATTTTCAATAATTAAGGTATATGTGCTCAGAGGAATTCACGCCGGAGGAATAGCACTTAACTCGTCTAGAAAAACCGGTGGAGAGCGAGAGTTAAGAGGCACTTGAAGAAGATGAAGCGTTGAAAGTAAATGAAGAAAATGCTGAGCCGATCTCCGACGAGGATGAGGGCAAAGAAAGTAAAGCAGCCGAGGGCAATGCTGAAGTCGAAGCGTCATACAAAGTAGAATTTAACCTGCATATGAATGCAGTCTCGTACCACATCTCGCATCATTAATATAACGAAAATAAGATACCATTGAATAGATAATCTTTCAGGCTCTACGACAGTTTCTTTATTACCTTCCTAGGTTCATTATTCGCCAACTTATCCACGTTTGAAATTCAATGGACATGGGTGGGCTTTCCTTCCCGATCCGTCAAAACCGGCACTTAAGGTTATTACTTAAGCTGCGCACGCTAACTAGTTAACTAAGCGCTTCAGTAAAACCGTCACATCCCCCACAAGCTCTCCCCATTTCTGCCTTTCACCTTTGAAAAAGACTTTGAAATTAGTTTACGCGTTACCCACATAGCACGAAAACACATCTAGTCAGCTTCTTTCCGATTCCGACAAACAGAGACACTCAAATACCCGTGACGCGCCTTCTACATACGTGACTTGGAAATTGACTTGCACCAGACACCATCGGCTGTCGCGGAAAAGAGCAACGGTGCCGATCGCCAGCCCCAGACGACGTATACTTTCAAACAATACACATCTGGCAAAATCGTCGGAAGTGCAGGTCCTATGAGTGAATCAGTGGTCTACTGTGATTACAAGAGTGGTCAACCATTTTTTGTCAACGGTGATATGAATAAAAATATGTTCTTGACTGAGAGAATATGCTTAATGGACAATAAAAATCCACGCAGCTGTTTTTATCTTGCTTTGGTCTATTTAAAGATAGCCTGCAGATCTGCAGCTATGTAACAGAATAAGGAAATTAAATCCAAGGTCCTCGCCAACGTTTTGAACTACATATGCAAGTGCTACGTTAGGCGCATGGTTCTGAAGGCAGACCCATTGTATAGTTGCAGACTCATTTCGTCAAAATCGTTTGTCAGAAAGCATTGCATTGAGAGGTAGTACATGCTGAGATACGCATAAACAGGGGCTCAGTGAAATATAGGAATCAAGAGCGCCGTAAAATAGCTACTGATAACTCTCTCCAAATTTCAATCTCACGCAGGAGTAAACGCTTTTCAATCTCCTCTCTTTTCTTGCCTTCGATAGTACCAAGACGTAGTGCCTCCAGAAGCTCTTTAAAAGGGATTTTCTCTCCATGGTTTCCGCGCAATATTTGATAGAGAACTTCTCGCATATCTTCAATGGTCAGTCCGGGTAAGGGTGATGGGCTTTTGAAGCACTAACCAGAATACGTCAGTTCCCTCAAATATGTGTTTTGGATCCCAACCATGGCCTCTGGGCTCAAAGCTCCCATCCATCGATGCAAAATATCTTTACATGCGTCCGGGTCCAACCCTTCGAAGGCAGATCTATAGAAGTTCTCCAGGCGAGCTGCGTCGCAACGCTCGAGATTTGACAGTATGCTTCCCAGGGCTGGATCGTTCTCAGCCACAGATTGATCAATCAATGAGAAGTTAGGCGCATTAGGAAAGACGTCTTTGCAATAGGTAGAAAACAGCGGGCTCCTAGTTGAGAGAGACCCTCGCGCAGTATTGCCCTGCATAGGGAGAGTGCTGAATCGAAGGGGCACATAACCGTTGGGCTCATTATACTTCTGTCTCCTATACAATCTCGTATATCAGCAATCAAGCACGGGAATAACATTTGCCTCTCTTCAAGCTCTGGGGCACAGCTTGCCTTGACATCGGCCTTTCCATCCCTAGGAATGAATTCTGCATACTGCCAAATGTTGCTTCCTGGCCGTGGAACCCAATGGTGCGATTGACCAGGGCATATTTATTAAAATCCTGGAAACTATTTTCTTCTGCGTGAGGCAAGGCTGGCTGTGATTTACCGGGGTTGGCCTGCGAGTACTGAACAGAGAAATTCTCGGCCATACCCTCGTCTTTTTGCAAATTAGCACAATTTATTACCTCGTGGATTGGCTTTAAGGACACTGGACACCAGGCAGTGGTGAATTACCTGTTTCGAAGGGGTGATTATTGATACTCCCACTGAGCGGATATGAATGGGGACTTGGCACCGGGGTGCTGGAAGGTTGGAAATGCACATGTGGAGGCCAGTGGCCATCGTTGTTTGCCATGGCCCAAAGAATCGAAGTTGAGATGTTTCGGGGGCAGACTGAATGAAGAGAGTCGGTCTTACCAGGCCGGAGATCAAGGACGCAGCGCGGATGGGCGGGGGTTATATACGTTCTGAAGGGTAATGATCCTCCCTCCTTACATATGAGAGCCTTTCACACTTCGCCGTGTTGGGCGGGGAAACTTGTGATGCATGCCATCGCCCTGACTGGCTGGCGAGTTCTGGGGCACGTATTGATTTGGAATTCTCATGCGAGTATTTGGGAAGAATCCACAAAAAGGCCAGGGGCGCTGTTACAAGGATGTTTACACAAGGGATGGGTAGGATTGGCTGCTAAGAAACTTCGCTGTAGCGACTATGGAGCATAAGTAGGGCACGTCCGTCTCGATACAAGCGCAG